AACATACGAGTATATTTATAAGCTCAAAGATATGATACGTTATAGGCATGTTATGTGTATATTTAAGTGCACACTTACCATTTAGTTTATTACACCAAAAAACAAGTATGTTTTAATGTACATTTGTATTCCGATAAGATGCCGTAAACATACGATAGATACCATGAAAGAATTCATGTGAAAATAATGACCATCCTTATGCTTTAAACACAATAATTTCAATTTTCAGTAAATACAATTTCTCGCAAAAAAAGAAAAAATATAATTTGATCCCAGGTTTTTAGAAAAATAAGCTTGAAAAACTATTTTCTTTAAAAATCACTTCACACTGTAGAAGGCGCCAAAAGATAATCATAGCTTCAGAGAATGTTTTAATTCCAAAAGATTTCATTGACGAATACGAAAATAACTAGCTTTTCCTCTGTTTTACAAAATGATGATCTAAATAAATGTAAACGAAATAACAAAACTTATTTTGTGTAAATATGGTTCCTTTTAGAATTTTTATATGTCGAAAGACGAGGCGATAATATATTACATATCTCTATTGATTTGAATAAATACCATTTGCAGAAACGGTAATTGAATTCACAGCAGACATAGAATTATTAATAATATATATTTAGTATAGCTTCAAATCTTACATTTATTACGGTTCTTTAATTGGTATATCTTTTATAATTGCTCATAGCTCCTTCAAGACGTTGAATGTGATAATGGAATGTTAAGATTTTAATCTCGGCTTTTCCCTGATTATTTCTAATAGAAATGTAGGATATTGTGATTTGCTTTTATATAAAGTATTCTGCGATCTTTAGGACTTTATATAAACATCACTCCATCCATCAATCCATCCATATATTCACGCATGCATATAAACAGCTAAACAATTATGGATGCAGTCAATGACTTATTAAGACATACAAAGACAAACTGTTATACATTGATTCAGACAGGCAAACACTATATGACAATAACAATGAACTCAGAAAAGCATCACATTAAAACGGACAGTGCCCTTTCTTAAGCTACTGACTGAAATTTACATATCAAATTATTGAAGGAGCTGATAAAATATCTCATTTTATGTATCCGATACCCCATCTTCTTTTTTATGAAAAGCGTATTGTTCATCGTATGGATAAAGCCAAATAAGTCTTAAAAATGTTTTCTTGTTTTTATGACATTCAAGCTTACATAATTAAATGAAGCGGCTATTTCTTTTCTCTAGAGAAATCTATATTTTCAGCCCGAAAACCAAAAAAACAAAACACATACGTTAAATACGGATTCAGTTATAAGAAAGTTATGTTACATGTCATAAAAAAGAAAGACCTGTATAAAAACGAAAATGATAAAATAATATAATACGAAAAGGAAACAGGAAAGGTCGCCCAACAAGGCAAATTGAACATGTTGCAGCTTCATGCATGGCAGCTGCAGTCTTCTCATCCCCCTAACATGAAGAGGTCTGAATACATTTTGGTATTGGTTACAAGACAAGCTAAAAGTCCACCTTTATTAATTAGATACGTTGCAAAAGTTCAAAGTGTACGGATACGGTATTGACAAACATTCCCAGAAATTACTTCATATATTAGTTTCCCATACTAATAGATCTAATATAATTTCTAACTTCTTTGCTTCGTTATATTTGTGAACAACTCAAACATCCTTTTTTTGCTTGGGGTTTGTCTTTTGATAAAAGAAATGTGAACTTGAGAAAGGTCTGCAGTTTAAAGCTGAAGTAGTTTGTATAAACGTTTATTAATTATGTATGGTTAAAATGTGAAATTGTCTTTTGAAGGGCATTCTGAAAGAACGACATTGACCATATAAAGAAGACAGGCAAATTTAATGACATGCAATGATGCCCTCCTCAAGTGATAAGCCTCTAACATGCTCTAAATCCACTATTGTAAAATAGCTTTGGCTTTTTTTCAGTCTTAAATTATTGACTTAAATCTTATTAAAGATAAATTAAATTATGGAAGAAGGTAAACAAAATCAAATGCATAAACCAGATTTTTAACGGGCAATGCAAAGCTACTACGTTAAATTACATTAAGAGATTGCAAAATCTGACCCAACATCTCCAATTACTTATACTAGTCTGTAATAGATGCCACATCTAAATTCCCTTGATGTTGATGTATCTATCATATACATGTACTAAGTTAAAGTATCTGATGCTCTACCTCAATACAATAGTCTAACTCTAATTAACAGATGTGTAGATACAATAAGAATTTCGCCACAACATATTTATTAACAAAAGAGAGCATGCCAATGTTTGAGGTTAAAATTTAGGAATCTATCAATATTATGTCATAACATAGTTCAGTTATTGTTTTATTTATCTGATGCAATATCGTTATTCATTCAGATTTATGAGTATCAGATGCATAATCTGGCGTTCATAGTGTCAACAAATCATGAAATGAAATCTTCTTTAAAATGGGACTCAGCGTTTGGTATTCTGAACCCGACTTTATTACAACATATATTGTATCTAAAGGAAAATTATAGTGCAAAATACAGGAACAAAATCTGGACAGCATAAAAAGTTAGATATTTATGGGTTTCCGTTCTTCCGGTTTTCTAAGTTTTAACTGCACTGCGGGCTGTCAATCTTCATTTATTCTGGCCAGATCATGATACAGGTTTTAAATAAAAGCGACATTAACGTGCATAAACGCCAGCTACAACGAGACTGTAAAGGATCTTAGCAGAACATTATACTGGAACAGACAGTATCGTATTTTAAGGTTACAGACGGTTTAAGATGTAATGGCAAATATAATAGTGTAGAAAATATAGAGAATATCTTTACATTTATAGTGTTGACATTGCACAGTTCGTGCCTGTATTTATTTCGTCATGTTAGTGTATGTATCTGTAAAAGGCAAACGTTTTTATGAAAATGATTAATGTGCAATTGGTCTAAGAAAGGAAAATAAACTCTAATGCGATTTAATATATCTAATCTTTACATATATGAATTATATAAGTAAATGTTTATAAAATATTAATATATGCCTTAGAAAAGAGTATACAATTGCTCTTAGAATAAATAATAAACGCATATATAATTTACTGATGTGCGAGATCCTTTTAAACTTACAAGAATTTCGTTTTATGATAGTTATGTATTTAATCATTGCATAACCCTCAGTTTGCTGTCGGCCATTCACAATTACATTCCTTATCGAATGCTTTGTTAAGCTCCGATTTGACAACCAACTATCATCTAAAGCTTTAATTAATCACATTGTGGCCTATATACGCTGAAGATGGTAAATTGTTGGCCAGTACGGCTAGCCAAAAGTTCTAGCCGTACGTGAGTCACGTACGACTAGCAAGGACTCACGGTATTGGCTAGCCGTACGGCATTTTCAAAAATGACTTTAAGCGAGGATTTTAACCAAGAAACAGCAATTGTCTTCGTATGTTTACTTTTTAGAGATTAATCGACTTGTTGGCTACAGTAAAAAAGTATGAATATCGATTTTTGTCATCTCAGGACGTCGAGAAAAAAATAGCGTTTGGTCGCAGTTAAATAACACCAAATGAAATAATTTACAAAATTTTGATAATAGTCCTTTTTTGGTTTCATTAAGTTTAATTTTTGACACCTTTAAAATGAAACAAAAAAACGAAAATTATTGTTGTTGGGCTCTGATAATATATAGAAGTTTATCCATCATTAAGGAAAGTTTGCATATTCCGTGAAACGCATTTTAAAATTCTATAGTCAGTCCCTTGGTAGGCTTTAATTAAGGCTAATTAATTGATTGTGCTTTCATGTTCGATATTTATCTACTGTATTTGAAAATGATACAATTATTTTTGCTTTTCACCGTTTTTTTTTTTTTTTTTTTTTTTTTTTTTTTTTCAATGTTCTTTTTATTTATCCCACTCCGATCATTATTTATTCGATCCATGTGCTTAATTTACAAAAATTCATCTTTCATACAAGTAAAACAACAAATCAAAATCATGAGGCACAAAATAACATGTGCATGTTCGACTTCCATATAATTTTGAAAAGTGCCGTACGGCTAGACAATACAGATAGTCCTGGCTAGTCGTACGTGACTCACGTACGACTAGAACTTTTGGCTAGTCGTACGGGCCCGTACGGCTAGCCACTTCCTAATTGTTTTATCACTTGGTGGGCGTACGTGAGAAATCCACTTAGTGCAAGGAGTATCATTGCACTTAATTGATCCTTGAAGTATATACTAGTAAGTAATATCTTACAGTGATATAATATTGCTTTATTGGTAGCATGTCAAAAGAACGTGCTTAACATACTTATCATGTTACCCTTCCCGTGTTAATTAGACTTGGTCACCAGTAAAGAAGCTCTAGGATAATCGAATTCTGCGAAAGGGTCTAAACTGTTAGCTGGCCAAATTTTAACTCTTCCATCTTGATTTTTCTACAAATTGGTCATTAGACATACTAAAGAGAAATTATACAAACATCGATAACATATGTGCTTATTACCAGTTTAAAGCATCCATAGTTTGTCTTTAATTATGAATTATTCGTTTAAAGATAGTTCTCAGTTATGTTTACCGACTTTATTTGTGAAATGTAGTGCAAGTGCAAATTTCCTTGATAAAAAAATAAGATGAAATGAAACAGTGTCGATCAAATAAAGGAGGCTAATGCACAATTTTGAACAAATAACTATCATTTAAGTGAAAGTGACTGATGTTTACTGACGATTATTACCACGTTATGGGATTGGAGAATGATATCATCACAAAGGATAAAATGATTGATGTCTGATCATTTCTAGAAATTTGAAACAAATTTGAATAAAGGGAAGTAACTTCTGTACAACTATACAAACATTCTTTCTGATTTATCTACCTTTGTAAGCTTCCTGCTCAGTCGGGTTTAAAATTGAAAATGGTATTGTTGTTAACATAATTAAGCAATTTGTTATGATCGTCATTGCTTTGGCATAAGTTACGAAAAAAACACAGTGGTAATAAATAATTTATGTACATAAAAGTGTAACAATCTAACACTTGTAGAGGAAAAGTATCATTATTATATTCATAACTGTTTCATGTTATCAAAATCGATTAAATTTGCAACAACATTTAAAATGATATGCGTTACCATTATTTATTCTCAGCATACTAACTTGACTGATAAAATCTTGATTCAGCAAAAAACAAAATGTTTTTGTCTTGAATAAATGAATGTTATGCATTTCTGCCATTTTCTTATACTAGCCCGGAACAACAGCTACAAATGTACTTCTTTAAACACTATAAAGGTCAATCTGTTTTTCCTTGTCTCAATGATCTTTGAATCTCAAAAAGTACACCAAGAAGAGAAGATTTTGGTAGCGTAGACTTGCTTGTTGCAGTATTAGGTGAGACAAATGGTACATTGGAACTAGGCCGTTCTGCCATTGGTTGTCCAGCTATTGGCATTATCTCGCCATTAAGTGTCATTATACCTGAAATTGAACCTCCGTTATCTTGGGTTGGTTCTGGCGTTTGAATCGATAGGGGACTGTTTCCGTCCAAATCGTTCCGATTTCCATTTGAAAAGAATTGATTGAGATCCACTGACTGAAACACAGCTGCTTCTCCGAATTCGGAAAATACGGGATTGAAACCTGATTCGACAGTATTGTTTTGTTGATTTATATCTACTGGACCTAACGGTTCTCCAATAGCATTTATCTTTGGAGTACTGCCAGGGGTACCTGTTTCATTAGTACTGCTGTCGGATTGGTTTGCATTATTCAGTATTTCAAATTGATTGGATGTTATTGTAGAGTTAATGGTTTCAATTGACGGAGAATTCGGTTTGTTTGCATGAATTGTCAAGTCAGTTGTGACATTCCTAAGAATTTCTCCCATGGTATTTGAGTTTTGATCGGATAGCAAATTTGTTGAAGTTTGCCCCATATGTGAGCCATTCTTTATATGAGGGTTTGGTTTGTCCTCTTTAAGTTCTGTAAATTTGGTCACCGGACTTAATGGAAAACCATTACCGTTTATATCGAATGCTGAATTAGGCAACTTTTCGACATGATTTAACTGACTGTCTGAGTTAAAATTCGTATGATCATTGTTTGTACTTTCATTTGCGATACCATGTTGTTCTAAAAGAATGATATTTCCTATGTTTATCTTTTCTAAAGGTATTTTTAATCTACCTGTTTGTTTACTAGGAAGATCTTGTCCAACATCTATTGGATTAAATGGAGCATTCATTCCGGTTTCGATTGGTCCCAAGGGTATACCCATATTAGCATCAATATTGCCTGTTAGAACTTCATTATCACTTGACGACTGTCTATTCGATAAACCAATATTTTGGTCAAATGGTTCCCACAAACTGTCTCCGATGTTCGCCATTCCAAGTGGTATACCTGGTCCTACATTTTCTGATTTTAATGGATCAGCAGGGAAGCCAGGTTCTATTCCAAAGGTGTTCATTTGCGTTCTAGGGTCAATTACACTCGTAAGATCTAAAACTGGCAATTCATTGATAGTAAATCCAGACACAACAGGTTTCGTTGATCCAACATTACTTATGCCATTTTCATCATTTTTACTAAGGGATATGCCATTATTTTCATTTATTCCTGTACCATTCTTCATATTCGCATCAGCAATACTTGTTTCATTCAGTAGATTTATTTTGTCAGTAATTCTTGTTGTATTTATTACATTTGATGATAAACGTTCTTTATTGGTGACAGCATTTAACTCGTTTTCAGTTATCTTGTCAAAAATAGTGCTAGACTTCATAGGTGTATCATTTAGCTTATGTCTCCCTTCCTTAGTAGTGCTAAATATTTTAAACTTATTTGTCAGCGAGTGTTCTTTTTTAAATAGTGCATTTTGAATTTCTGTTTTCTCCTTTTGGCGTTGTTTGTTTGCTTTTCGAAAAGCATCTTGTTCCTTTTTCATATCTAATTTTGCTTTCCTCGCTCGCATACGTTCAATGATTTTTAATCGACGATTGTTCCACTTCACTGACTTGTTAGCTGTTTTCTTGTCCCCTGAAATACATAAAGAAAAAACATTCAATTCAACCACTGTATTAAAAATGTATCTAAATATAAAGTGATTTATTTAAATACATGTTTAATGGACATTAATTTCAAACGAAAATTTACTTACAGCTTTCATCTCGCGCACATTTTATTAGAAATATTGACAAACTTTAGGGTAAATAATTACCAAAGAGATTATTTATCGTGTGCGTTAACATCTACAGTAACAGTGAATTCACCTCTCATTTCGCTAAGAAGTATATGTATCATTTATTTTCAAACGTTCATACCTTAATTTTTATCGTAGGTTTAGATCAAGTGAACCACAGTAAGCATTATTTTATAATAAATACAACAATGAGCAACGGCGGTCATTTTTGGGTGTTTTTAAGTTAATGGAGAACGCCTAACATATAATTTATATGTTTATGGAAACACTCTTGACATTTTCAAAATATAACTGAACATATGTATATCGAATGACAGTATATATTTTACAAGCAAACAAACAATCCATGCATATTAGTGTTAAAAGGTTTTAGATACCACTTCATTAACAAAATACTAATAAGTTTATTTATTAAAGTTTTATCTTCGATAGTATATAATTCTTCAAATTTGAAAAAGTTGTGATAAACAAAGTAAAAAAGGTTTAAAGTATTTCTTTTTTCTTTCAGGTGATCTTTTTTCTATAAGGGTTCATACGCTTTAAATAGAGCTAAAAGGGGTCTGCTGAGTAAATCTGGCTTATAAGTTAATGCTCAATACTTGGCAATGATGTCCATTCATATGACTATTGACATGTATATGCGATTGTAACATGACGTGTGGCCTGGTAGAGAAAAAACACGAAGATGGCACCTGTACCCCTAACATCCCTAATTAGCTGCAGGAAATGGCACTCGGTGAAACACGAGTAACAGGGAGATAAATATTATAGTCATGTTGGAAGTGCGTCTGTCGTAGAGGTCAGTCTTCGAAGCTTACATGAGATATTGATTTGAAGAAACTGTCAGTCCGTTTTGGTAGAAGACTTCTGGCTGTTGGTAAGAAGAATATCCGCGTGCTAGTTTTAACTTTTAAATGAAATCCTGACAATATTTTACTGTATTTTACTTATGATGGAACAATGGGTCAATCATTTTACCCTAGAATCTTGACAAAAAGAAAAGTACATTGCTCAGTCTAAGACTGTTCTGTAGACTTTGATGATTATAAAAATTGCCTATTGGGATGTTTTGGTATATTTATGGTAGATAATATCTATTCAATATATTGTGATATTTAGGCACTTGAATATATCTGGCAAAAGTGAAATAGACTTAATCCAATTTACACATGTGAGATTCAACTTTTAATCGTATATATGTTAATAGCGTAAAACAAAAGCGTATAAGCTACATTATGTATTGAAATAACGGCAAGGATGCTAAAACGTTTAATTCTAACAAGCTGGTTCCGCATATTCTAAAAGCTACATGGCTGGTTTTGGTGCATGCGTACAAATTTGCTTCTGAATATCGCAACTAGTCTAGTAAAAATTCAAATAATTAACATAATCACCTCGGTTCTTTCCGGTTTTGGCTAGTTTTAATTTCTGTTTCTTTAATTGTTTCAAATTTTGCCTTTTTTGTTTGTTTTTCAGTCTCTTTTGCATTCTACGTTCTTGTCTTTTCTCCTTTCGCTTTGCTTTTAAACGTTTGTTCTTTTTCTGTTTTACTCGGCGACGTTTTCTTTTTAAAAGACTGCCTAAAATAAGGCAAACGATCTTTAATCGTAATGTGTCAGCTTTGAAATTTACACATAGTCAGAACATTATTAAAAGGCATAATTTTTCTTTATATTTCATTTACATTTATAGACTTTTGTTACGAACATACTCGGGCACAGTTCTACTTTAAAGAATTGCTTGTATAACATTGCAAAGCGGCTCACTTCAAAGAAAAATCAGTGTTAAATGTAATAAATTTAAATGTAATGAATTTATTTAAAAACTGTGAACTTATCGTTTTAGGTTTATCAAACGGATCACAAGTGAGAATTGATGGCCTTTACCTTGAATGGCATTTGCAGAAGGAGTAAGTTTAGTATTCCCTACATTTACTGCCGGTAATTCAACTGTGTGCGGAGCTAGGTGGGCAACGTCTGTAACTCCAGCATCAGTTTTAATAATTCTTTCTATAATAGAAGAAAATGACACAATACGTAATTTTTTTTGAATTTAAAAAATGAAACTTTTATTGAAATAATTCAATGTAACATGTGTGTAAAAATAATGTTCTTAAAAAGCGTCAAGGAATAAACAATTGCATTTTATATCTCAATTGTTCAGTGGTAACAGTGCGGACTTTTAATCAAAGATTGTTAAATTTAAATTATTAAATGTTTGTGTAGGTAATAAAATTCCGTGAGAAAATTTTGGTTTTCTTCTGCCTAGTTCCATGCATATTATATTTTTGTAACGTATCTTGCGTTGTATTCAAGTCATTCTTTTTACTGTTATTGAAACACTATTTTTTCATAAAGTTGATAGATCGGATTCGCTTTTGTCATCCTGGTTTTAACTCTAAATGTTTTGTACTAGCTCTTACCTTCTGTTTTTGTTGCAATTCCATTCATAGTACCAATCTGTGGGACAACTACCTCTCCTATATGTGCACTGATTCCTCCTCCTAGATTATAAATGTCAGTACATTTGTATTATATCATCATGCTTTTAATTTGTGCTAAGGTTTTGCAAAATGCTGAAAACTGAATAACAAGAAGTTTAATGATGTTTAAAAATAGAAGAACTTGAACTAGTGAATATAATTCATTTTATTCCTTACAACTACAAATTTAGTTTCAGATGCTTTTCACATTTCAGTTAGAATTTCAGTTAGAAATAGCATTTAAATAATTAAACGCATTATGCTGTTGCTTGGTTTAGAACAAAGAATGTATGCGTCAATGTATGTCTTTAATTTACACATAAGATGTTATGACGCTGGTTTGAATTAAGGTTAAATATTACACGTAGTTAATTATATAGAATATTTACCTCCATGTGCATACGCGGCACTAGTGAAACAAATTGCTAAACTAATTACATTCCTGTAAATAAACATACGTTTTATCATTTTAGCGCGAAACAAATGTTTTTGTAAAACGCCCTATCTTATATCACTTTGAATTTAAAAAAGTAAGTTTTAAAAAATATTTAAAACAGTTTCATCATCGAGTAGTAATGTATCCAGCTCAATTCATTTTATCTTTTTATAAATTTTCAAATGTATGTACATGTATCAAATATAACTTGAGAATAAGTAATTATATAATGGTACATCTAACATCGCATGTCCAAACGTTGTAGATTCACCGTAAATAGAAATGTACGTCATATTTGCGTAAACTTTATTTGACGATCAATCTCTGAAATGCACCAACGTAAAAATAAGAGCACTCTTGTGAAATATGTACGCGCGTTATAAATTGTTGATTGCATCAAAAATAAGTTGTTTTTGTTTTTATTTACTTAACGTGTGCACAGTTCAAACCAAAATCTGAAATTGCAGATTCTATGCAATTTAAATACATATGCATTTAGTTTACACTGCTGTATCTTTTTTATTTTTAATTTTATTTATTTGTTTATTAATCTTATTTTTTAAAGTTTTATCCTCGAACAATTTTTCCAATAGGCTGAATGGTGGCCTGGTGAACTGATGTCACGAGCTATCTGCTTTGTCACGGCGATTACTATTTGAGACTTCATTTCGCCACGAAAAGTTAACAAAGATGACACTTTATTTCTGGGAGTGCATTTTGATTTCTGAGAGTGCATTTTGAAATTGCATAACATAACTTGTAGTAACTGTTTTTAAAATTTGGGTAAATAAAAATAGGTTATATCTGAAAGAAAAAGTTTGTCAATTTACCATTATGATAACCTGCTTTCTCATTGAATCCTCCAATCAAAAGCAACTTGTAATAGATTTGGCTACGACGTGCATATTGTATACAGTGATGGGGAAAATTAAGTGATTCACACGTAATGTATTACAAGTATTCAACTGAAACATTACATTTATTGTTCACTTATTTTCTTGTAAAAAGAGCATGCTGAAAACCACAAATAAAATACAATTCAATACATAACGTTACTGATTAGTTGTGTTAAAAGGAAGGTCACAAAACTGACGATCAATTCACTTGTATTACAATAAGTGAAAGTTGAGGTTTCACGTGATTCATTTTCTTGAGAAAAAAATAATTTCCGGTAAAAGTCGCAAATTAATCACAAGTTTTCGGACATGATTAGAGAAAGTGTCCTTAACTATTAAGAAATTCTTATTGTTGTTGTCAATTCAGCTCAACTTGACAATGAAATAATGACCGTAATGCTCTTTAGCACAGAATTACAAAGTCAGACATGACTACATGCAATAAATTTATTAAGATAATGACACTCTAATCATTATTGTCGATTATATTAATACATGTTTATTAATGAAGTTACCATAAAAATCGAAAATATATTATCTGATAAGAAAATACGTCCTAATTGTAATTTGATGCCGAATATATCATAAAGGAGTGCATATGTTGAATCATCAAAATAGCTACCTTAGAGGGCATTGAAAAGTTTTGGAAACATCACCATTTTCAATCTCAGATTTCAAAAGCTTCTCAGTCTTTGGGAGGGGACACCTCTTCGCAGGTAAGAGGTACAAGTTGCCGCTACAAAGCGACACGCGTGCTATGTGGGTCAACTCACATATGTCCCCATAAATGTCGAATATGTGTATGCCCAGATATAGTCTATATGTTACCCTTATGGACATGTTTGCTGGGTTATTTTGTTAATAAAGGCAGAAACTATTTTCCGTTTAACCGCTTCCAAATTAAGAAAATCCTACTATATTTCCGGACTTAATACATCAGAACTTTGGAAAAAGTACCTTTATACTTCAATCATAATGGGTCTGACTTGTGCCTTTGAACTGAATGGACTGGGAAATGACTTTTTAATGTTTGCATAGCAGCTATTTTTGATTGGCTTTTGTGTATATTCACTGATAACTACTACCTTGGTGTCGTAAATAGAGGATATTGAATGAGTGTAAGTTTAATACTGCATTTATTAAACGAGTTGAATACAATTTTATCACACACCCGTGCCGATTTTGCGACTCCGTAAATATGGTATTGCACGGCCGTGCATATATTTTGACGTCACGTCATTAGCGTTATACAAACATACTGTAAAGACGCGCTAAATGTTGGCGTTATACTATAGGCGCGTCAATGAAAAATGACTCTTATTTCACTTTAAACTGTATTTAATTTTGGTATGTGATAAATAGAATATTAAATTCGTGTAAGTTCATTTCTGAATTTATTGCACTCGTTGTATAAAATAATATTATGCTCGCCAAAGGCTCGCATAATATAATTTTATTCAACTCGTGCAATAAATTCAGTATTGAACTTACACTCATTCAATATCCTCTATATATTATGCGAGCCTCTGGGACTTACACGAATTTAATATTCTATTTATCGCATACCAAAAATAAAGACCGTTTGAAGTGAAAAGGGAACATTTTCCATTGACGCGCCTATAGTTAAACGATTACATTTAACGCGTCATAACGCTATGATTATATAACGCAAATGACGTCACGTCAAAATATATGCACGTCCGTGCAATGCCATTTTTACGGAGTCGCAAAATCGGCACGGGTATGTGATAAACAGTAATTGCACTAACAAATCTTCATTTTAGATGGTGCAAAAGTCGAAGAAAAAACATTTAATGTTAATTTAATTCTAAGGGAAACTTTATTATTTCAAAGAATTTTAGAAATGCTTATTTGTTATAATTTAACATCACTTACGCTTCTGTATTTTATATAGATGAAAGGTATAAAGGCACAAGCTGAATACATCAAAGAGCTGTATTTAAAAAAAATCTGGAAAAATAGTGATCACCTCGGAAGCGATAAAATATTCAAAATTACATAAAAATTGCAGACTCGATTTGATTGGGTCTGTACATGAGGGAATATGAAAAAGTGCAGCTTCCCTTACGCACCCTAGCACCGGCTTGTGTGGTACTCAATTTTCAACACTTAATGTCCTGCAATCAATGATTCCGAAGGACCAAACTGAAGTGAAGTACGTGGCAACTTTTAACAGCTGCCACACGCCAATTGAAAAATATAAAAATCTGGAAAATACAATTACATGGATATATACATTTTTCTTTTTTGACATTACAATTTAAAATATATAGTGTACGGAAAACACTATTTACAGAATTTAGAGGAAAGTAAAGTGCAAGGCACCAGTGAAAATACGGACAATATGTTTCACTGTAGCTACTGAAAAATAATTTTTTTACTGTGAAAATGTGGAAAATGTTGAAAATACGTATTTTATTTCATCTATACTGGCATGCGAGCAGTTCCCGTACAGAAGCAGTACCCGTATTTTTCATTTAAACGCTTGATTTTTACTTGCATTCTTCAAAAATTCATTTCAAATCAAGCAGATACATAAACGAGACAAAATCTAAGTGTCAGTTCGGCAGTACGTATATAAAGTCTCGTTTTAAATCACTTTCACCTGTGCGTCGTCAAAACGTGACCTTGTTTTCTCTGGGGGATTCCGTCCTTGTGCGCATGCGCAAAAATACTTACACGTGAGGCTTGTTAAAGGGTTTTCCACTAATACCACCTGTTTACAAATAAGTAGGCAATGTAATGTAAACTTGTTTAATTATCAGAATGTTGACCAATATTACTATATATAATAATTTTATGGCTTTGATGCGTAAAATATAATGCATACAAGCATGCTATTGCATGTGAATGCGTTGGGGTAACGGTACCGGGTAATTGATACCCGCGTTTAGTCTACGCTCTATTTCCTGAATTACATCTATTTATCTCTTAGATAATGGTCTGTTCAACAATTGTAAATGAAAAATAGGTCCGATATAATAAAATTGTATAATTATAATGGGTTAGATTTTATGTACGGGAACTACTTCTCTTCATACAAAATAATGGATAATTTCGGTACCCCATATGAGGCCTCATAACTTAGGGTTATACTATGTTTAGAACATGATGGAATTTCCATGATTTGTGTGACGAGCTGAATATTGATGTGTAACATTCAAATTGTGGTGAGTGAGCGTAACAAAAAATAATGTTTAAGTCACTACGATTTTTGTACGGGAACTGCTCGCATGCCAGTACAGTATTTCTCAATATTTCATAAATAAGACGTATATCTTGTATGGGAGATAATCAGAGGCACGTTTCCCGATTTAGTTAATAGTAGTTGCGCCCCTTCTTTCACACTAAGGGAGTGAAGTATTGCGGGTTTTATTTAATGAGAAAGTCTTAGTTATGTCCCATAACTCACCTTGACCTTTGACAGGCAACACCTCCAATGACGTCATTTATGTTGACAGTGTCCGCCATATTGTCAGAAATTGGACGAAGATCATCGCAAAATGTGTTGAATTTGCAAAACTTCAGTCTCTCCGGTCGTTTTGGTAATTTAAAGTTTATGTTTTTGTTTTTACATTTAAAACTCTTAGTAGTCGTTACAAAATACTTTGTTTGCGAGTGGAAGAAAGGCAGATATTTGGTAAAAGTGAAGTGTACACAAAGCATGACAGTTTCGTTTTCAGATATTTTAGCATATTTATGTTTGAAATCCCAATAAAATAACAACTAAGAACATGATTATTTGTGAATAATTATGAAACAATATTAATTGTACATCAATTTTGCTAATTTATTTGAAGAAAAAAATGTTTGTGAAAACATCAAAGTTGAAAATGCAGGTGGGGGTGTGTCTCATAGTAAGAACACTGTGACAGACACTTAAATATAATTTTGCCAAACATTTTCCTTAAGAATATAATTATATTTAAATTATTTGAACAATTCTTTAATGTTGGCTCATATATACTGTATTACAGCAATGGATACTAATTATCAAGAAGAAAGAATTTTTGCATACTCTACCGTCTACGTATTCTGACGGTATTGAACGAAAAACAGTTAAACGTTTGTTGTGGTTTTTTTTGTTTATTTCAGCATACAGTATTCTGTCTTACATCTGGTTAATATGTTTGGTTAGTGTTATACTTTAACCATTTGTGATTATGATAGTGAGAATAAAGGTCAATATGACTTTACTTTGCATAATGTCATCTTGAGGTTTATTATTTTTATTTAATAGATCTACATAACATATTTAAAGTTTCTCACATGATTTTGTCAAACTAAACCACATCCTGTATTTACATAATTTAGTAGTCAACAAGATATTTTGTATAATTATCATCTTATTGATGAAACATGCTGAATTTACATGAGGCCAAAATGAATTTAGTAACTTTAAACATTTTAGAATTGGTTAAAGTTATATTTTTCTAATGAAATTGTTTTATTTTTCAAATTCTTTGATACATAATTACATTTCATTTGTTTAATCAGTACCATTTGTCCTTTTAAATCACTTCAATGGTCATACTCGCAAAGAAAATGTGTAAAATTTCAAAAGATAATTTTAACCACTAAGTACATGGTCTCTAGAGGTTAGTGTTTGTTAGTCAACATTTATTCTATTAAATCTGTCATGCAACTGTTGTGGTGCTAAATAGATTTAACTTCATTAAATTGCTGACTTCATATTAAACACTTACCAATCCTAATACATGTACATATGAATATGTCTCCTCTTTGATAGTAAGATAACTATAATGCAGTGGACTTAAACTAAAGCATACCGTAAAATTCCTAATAAACGCCCCTCCCCTAATAAAGGCCCCCAAGCCTTTTGATAAGGAAAACAATCTACTCATCAGTGCTGAACTCATAATTAAAGCCATAATTTTATTCAAAGTCATTCAGAATCCATAGTATTTTATAGTAAACACAAATATGTATAATATGAACTTTAAAACCTGAACACTTTTTAATGTTATTACCAACACTTGCTAACACTAAATGTATAGATTTAGGAAAAACTGTGTTGCTATAATAGCCCCCCTTTTGGAAAATGTTTAGCCCCCGGGGGCGTTTAATAGGAGTTTTACGGTATATTGATAATATTCAATAATGTTTACTGAAGCCTGTAACAGCAAAATTTGAAAAGTGTCACATTTCAATGTAACTTACAGAAAATTAGTACACAACACTTGATATTATATATTATTATATTGAATTGAACTTGTTCAAAATGACATCACTTTAAAATTGAAGCAATTTATTATCATAAATAGAATGCTGTCATAGCTGTTCATGTTGTGCCTAGTGTGATAAAATTACTTTAAAATTGTACAGTCATTCTTTATTTTGATAACAATCCTCTTAATCTTATAGATAAAATCTTGTCAAATTTAGAAATTAGACTCTGACATCAGTTTTGAAACATTTGAAAAATTAATGAAACTGATTTCTTTTAAATTTAAAGTTGTGAAACATTTTTTATCCTGCCCTAAATAATAAAACAGATCATATTTAACTCTGTCCCATCAGCTTGATCTACTATCTTTTTGACAGTTTCGGAACCTGTTTTTGGTGGCCCTCCATAGTAGTCTTGAACAGTTCTTATTAGTAAAATTATCTTGGAGGAGAAGTTAGTTGTTACTTGTGGAGTATCAGCGAGAACAACTGCTTAATTTAAGGAAAATAGGTACATGTGGGGTAAACTGAATCATAAAATTATGGAAAACATACAATAGAAAAATATTACATTTGGAAGATAGGAACAAATATTTATAATGACTTAACATTGTTTGAAATTTAAAGATTAAGACATGCACAGGGTCACCTAAACAGGATGTAGGATCTAATTCTATAACATTTTGCTAAATGGAAAAAAAAATGTTACAGGGTGTCCGTTTGACCCTTCAAATTACCAAAGAGTCTGATTTGACCCTCAGGATTTTAACTGGAGGTCTAATTTTGTTAAAATCATGGGGATTTTGCCTTGTAGTCGGTAAAACTTAGTCAAAATGACCCACAGGATTTCCTGGTTAGTGAACACCCTGTGTTATTTCAAAAAGAGTAATGTAACTATGAAAAAGTTATTGTTATTTAACTTTACTTAATTCACTTTTAGTAATTCACTTTATTTTTCTATAAGTAAGTACTTTAAAACAGTATTACAAGTATAGTATTACATGGGCATATTGTCATATAATACAGCTATTTAAATAAGCATTGTTCTTATCTATATTGTAATGTCATGACTAAATTTATATTTATCTCTTATCTTTTACCCTATGGAGGGTATTTCCCACATGATTGTATTCATGATAAAAGTTCGTATACATTTAATTGTCTCTCAGAAGTTAAAGATTGTCTGTCTGATAATAAAGTTATCAAAGTACACAATAGCGTGACAGTTTGCAATGTACGAAGCTGTAGATCACTAAATGACATTTTATTAATTTGTATGATATTTTAAGATTAATGATTTTTGTCAATTAATTAACTTCAAAGTACACGGTCAGTTGTGTTGGGTTGTTGTTTTTTATTTTTAGGGCGGACCGCCAATTTTGAGTTAATAGAAGATACATATACTGCTTTTTTTCCAATTCTAAAGCACAAATTTCATTTTAAAAATTAAAGAAAAAAGAATAGATTGATATTATTATATTATTTTTGCAATAATGGAAAAAGAAATCTGTAGATATTGTACATGTAAAGTTGAACTTCATGTACACAGAGTTTAAGATTAGTTAAAAAAAGCCACTTGTCTAATAGCATTTAGTTAAATTACAATAAATTAACTATGATACTTAAGTCAGGGCTGCAGATAACATGCGTATTTGCGTTATTACCCAATTAAAATGTCTAAAAACCCAATAATAACTAAGGGTAAGAAAAAGTAAATGAATTCTTATTTATACAAACTACATTTGAACTGGTGCGTAATGACGAAAATTATTACTTAACGCGTACATCAAGCAGATCATACTGTTTCAGACTGTTTTAACCTTTAAATTATATAAGGCAACTTGGAAATTTCCTAGGCCAATAAACCATAAAGCAAAGTAGTAAGTAGCTTTTTTATTACCGTACAAAACCTACAAATGTCTACAATGAAGGTCAAAAATTTTGGGTAAAATGCATGAACTTGTACTTTATAACCCAAATTGGTTAGAGGGGGTAGGGTAAAAAATACAGAAATAACTCAAAGAAAATAGAAAAAACCCAATAGATCACAAAATAAGGGGTAATTACCCAATATACACAAAATGTTATCTGTAGCCCTGTTAAGTATTTCTGAAAATTCAAAACTTTGCCCCTTAAACTGCTTGAACAGGAAGTGGTTTGCCTTTAACCAATATACATAGCCAGGCCAGCCTGCACAGCCATGAAGTATGACCAGATATTGTTTTGACAGGTCAAGTTTTGCATTTTGATATTGAAATCTCGAAAATTTTAAAACAAATTCAAAACCGGGCAAATCCATAACTAGGGATTAAACGATGATCGAGTATAATCGAAAATTGATCGTTTATAGAACCGATCAGCGATGATCGATTACAAAGTTTAATAATCGATTATCGGTAATTTATTTTCTTGCTGTTACTTAAGTAACTCACTGTATTATAACAACACTAAATTAAAGCCAGTTTTGGTTGAAACAATAATTTTCATTCAATTGAATATGAAAGTATACTGGTGACCATGGAGTTAATAGTTGACAGTAAGGCATGCTAGTTTAAAGGTATACTATGCTCAAATTTGACATTAGAGAATATTTAAAATTGCTACACAGTCTATTTGTAAATATAAAATAAATATGTTTTGACTTCACACAAAGAAGATATGTTATGTATAAAATTATTCTACACACTAAAGGTGGTTGCAATATCAATATATAGTGTCATTAAAAAAAACTGGCAGTTTCATTAAGAAAGGACCAACGTAACTTGTTCCCATACAAAGTTTATTCATTGCTTTTTGGAAGTGAGACATAATAACTTCATAGATTTTAATGAATTTATTTGATAAAACTATTTTACTCAAGGATGAGCATAGTATATCTTTAAACTAATTTATTTCAGTTGATAAAGTGGTGGTTACATGGAAATGGAATTCTTATAAATATTAAAGCATGATATGAACATTGTACATATTTACTTTGTTATTGTAAATGTTTCGATTATATAATCGATGATTGATCGAAAAGGGTGGTTCGATTATTTTCGATGATCGATTATGAGTTTTGTCCGATTATGAAACCCTATCCATAACGCAAGCAAATTCAGCAGGTTTAAAGAGTAATGTCTATATAATGATGTAATGACTGGGGATGGGGGGTTCAGTATCTGTGAGGATCTCTTATTGTAAATTATGCTGTCATTATGATTGAAGTGGTGTAGTGTGCCATTAAAGGTTTTATTTACTTACCTAGATTTAAAGCAAATATGCCGAGGTTTAATAGCCTAGTTTGGCATACATCCAGCTTAAAAAATCGGTATCTTCATTCACAGTTTATGGTATAGGCTAAAAATATTTTTGAATTGCAAAATAGCCTTGACATGCGGCGACCTTTTTGTCAGTTTTTAAATCTGCAAGGGAGCGATTTTTTTGTACTTTTTAACTGATAAAACCTAGGTTTTACTTACCTGGAGGCGGTTATGAAATAAATAGACGTAAAAGTGCAGTGACAGCATTTTCACGCTAGTTGGTGACTGGTGTTTATTCACGTCACTTTTACGGAGATATTTTTTTTCTGGGATAAATATATGGTAATAAAATATTTAAGTAATTCATAGTATGCAAAGATAAACCAGAAGGTTTTTATGTGTCAACAATTTCAGAAAATAATAATTTTATTTTATGAAATATAATCTTTAAGAAAGAAAATTTGGATTATAAAAGTAATGGTTCAAATTTCTTTAAAAGGATTATTGTGTAAATGTGCAATATTATTTATTTAACGGTATGGTAAGTATCACAATGTTTTGTACCCTTCTCAGAATATGCATTTCAGTTCAGCTGGAATAGGAAGTCTATTACTTTAGTAATGTAAAATTAGGAAGGGAAAAAATACTACAGTGGCAAATAAAAACATGTACCAGCTCCATTTTAGGAAAAAATACTTGGAAGTTTTAGCATATGAGAAAAAAGGTCTTTTTATATATATCAAACTTGTCTGTAGAGAGCAAAATAAAAACATCAATATTGTATCAGATCACATAATAAATGGTTATATTTAAAAATCATATGATTTATTAATTTAGGTATAATATATGTGACTGTAATGGGTTATTTTGTGCTGCTTTAAATATGATATAGGAACTGTAAATCATTGTCAATGTCAAGCTGTGAAGGACTTCAAGATAAAAAGAGTAAAAGCACATAGACTTTAAGGTCTGGTCAGTCTGTGGAATGCTGACTGTCTTGTCATGTTCTCTACATACATAATACTGTTTAAATTAAGGTAACTAAGCAGTTATGAAAATATAACAATCAAGTTCTAGTCTGCCTCCAGAACTGTATTGATATCAATGATATGGAAACATGATCATCAGAGAAACATTGGCTTAAGTTAAAGGTTAAATTTCTATGCCACCATCCACCTCGGTACTGACTACTTGTGGCCTAGCTATTTCTTGTTAAATGCTTAAAGGCACAATATGCCTCAGAATTACCCTTCACATGTGTTTGTCAGTTGCGATAATGATTTGTCTATGTGACAAGTATTCAAATCCAGGCCAGCGTGCTAATATTTGCAGTCTGACAAGACTTACAAAGGACAGCAGTACACTCTTGTTACAAAAACTTGGTAGGGTTAAAACTTAAGTAGTGTCAATTTATTTTGCTTATCTTACTTTCATTTCAATAGTAAGATATTTATTTTTAGATATTTGAACTGTTTGTGGTGTAAAATCCCCAGTTGTTGGACATTGGCAATTTCATCAGACTTTGTGGAGAAAAGGTCATGAATATCACATGTCTGTTATCTAACATTACAAATATTGCATCATTTTCAACTGTCTGTTCCTTAACCTTTTTTTTACAAACAAGTCTGCTTTAAGTAAACGCCATTCATAAAAACAGTTTTTGTCATCTTGGACTCATGCAATCAAAACGCACATATTATGCTTTAATATTTGAGCCTTAAGGAAAGATCAATGTCATCTGACATCGGTCATCCACATTTGTTTCAAATGAGTATTAATTAAATATAGTATCTAAATAGTCCCTAATGTTCACCACTGTAAAATTTGAGCTGAGCTAATACCTATGTCTGTTTTTTTTTAGACAAAAGATTTTGGTTTCTTGTTGAGAAGTGTTGATTAAGTGGTTAAAATTATAGTGAAGTCTTATTTACATGTATGGCGACAAAATTAATACAATTATTGTATAGAGATCATAACTTTACCGAAGGCCATATTTTACATGAAATTTATTGTTATCCTCTTGAGCTACAGATTTGAGAACAATATCAAGCTCTTGAGACACTTATTTTGTAATGTTAAGGTAAAATATTTTCCACCTAAAATTAAGTTAGAAGGGGCATTGTTTTTTCGCAATTATGGCATGATTTTCAAGAAATTATTTCAGTAATGTCCATTAATGAAGTGATTTTCACACTTAAGTCTTGTGCAGTCAGGGTATTTTATGTCTAAAATATATACTCAGAGGGTTTGAAAGAAGTTTCTTAAGTATAATACTTGTCAGAAAACAATGTTAAAGAAATCTGGACTGTTGCATGTTGCAGCAAAATGACATGTTTTACTTGGCTGAACTGGGTTGTAATGAAAACCTCAATTTAATAATTACAATTTGTCAATTCTTTTGTTTCTATGTATTTTCAGGCTTGACTTCCGACTGCTGAGAAGAAAGTGCAAGGGCAGGCAGTTTCCAAGTTCTATATTTGGAGAAGCAGCTCAACACATTTGTCCCTTTGTTTGGCATTGGCAAAATTTCTTACTGGAAAATTGTAAAATTTCTTAACCTGGTCGTCCTATTTTTCTCTATAACCTTATATAAATATTGTTATTGTAGAGTTCTTTTACTACTTTATCAAAAAAAAGATGATACAACTTTGAAGAATCTTGAATGACAAACTTACATAAGCGTTTACATATAACATATATCTTCTTACTGTGTTACAAGATATAGACTATTGGATATTTTAAGGTGGTGTGGCAGAAAATCAGTGGTTACTGAACATCTAGTCTAGACATTAAGTTCTCTTGTGACAAGGTTATGAAATTTTTGTTTGTTTGTGTGAGGTTGTTGCGTTTTTCTTTTAATTAGTTGATTATCAACAATAGATACATGTAAGTGTGCATATATTTGCAAGTGTTTCTGTTCGATACTTGAAAACAGTGACAAGGAAGTTAATTCCAGACATTGCCTACATGTGGTTACACATCATGTGACTGGATTTAGAGATAACTAAATATAGAAACAATTGTATTTTATGGGGTTTTTTTTCAAATATTTAAAAAAGAAAATTACATTTAATATGACTTAAAAATTATTACTTACTGTGGATTTTGTGTTAAAAACTTCAGAGTGAGTGATATTTTCTGACTAAAAACTCAAATATTGTAACTAAATATTGATTTGTGTTTGGAAAATGAATAGAGGTAGCCCCCCTGGGTTACTAACGTGATCATCATGGATGTGTTCTTCCAAGTTTTCATCTCAAAGAGACTGAAATAACAGAAAAAAAAGAATAATCGCCAATAGTGCGGAGGGTGTGAATGTATACAAAGAAAATGCAGGAACATATGGTAAGAATTTACACCTTATTCACATCTGAAAGTTCTGACTGTAAAGCTTTAATTTGTTGTCAGATAGAGCATGGACATGTAAATTGTGCCTGTCTGGCATTGTTGGACTTTGGTACCAAAGCATCTATGTGCATTGCCTGTTAGTAACTCTTGTAAAGTCAGTGTGGGTGGAGGGGTCATTCTTTTATATCAAATACACTATAAAGACTGCTTTTCTTTCAAGTAATGGAAGTGCTGCTTGAACCAGAGCCATGTGCAGAACTTAATAGCTCTTACTATTTTGTCATTTTTTACACTCTTGCTTATGGAGTAAAGGTCATTTAAGTATATTTTGACATGCTATTAAAGCAATTTCTTTGAGTTTTACATCTGTACATTGTAAGATTTGACCTTAAGCATGGTTTGTAAATTTGACAGCATTTTTATTTATGGCAAGAAATTTGTATATTTTAATTTTTTTCATAAAATTTCACATGGTTTACAATGGAGATGTGCTGCTTTAAGTATTTAATAATTTACTAACCCTTACTGAATTTGCATTTATACTGTAGTGGACTTTTCCTGTCCACTTTAAATTCACTGTACACTATCTCCTCAAGTGTTTGTTACTTATAAGGATTTCAGAGTGTTCACCACCAGTACATGTAAATAAGCTTTTAGCTTCCAACACAATTGAACTAAAACAAATTCATATAAACTAAATGTAAGTCAAAACATTATCTGACTAAAACGATGCAAGAATTAAAATACTATGATTTACAGTCAAACCAACCTGTTAACAAAGGCTAATCAAGGGAGAGGCCAAGTATGCCAAGTGGTCTTTATTTGGAGGTTTCTTTGTTCTTTATCATCATTGAAGGGTTTTTCTCAAAGTGGCCTTTAAACACATGGTTACCTTTATTCAGAGATGGTCTGTAACACAGGTTTGATTGTAATAGGATGATATGTAACATCTGTTCAATTTACACATTATAATGACAGTGTATGACAGGTAATTGACAAAAACATATTAAAATATACACTTTATATGTTTGATATTATAGTGCTGTTAACCACATTCTTAGCATTATTCATTTACCGGTAGCATACAATGTATTTTAAATGAAACGTTAAGATAATGCAATGTTAAGGCATTCATTGAAATGTTAAGAAATGTAGACGAAACAGAATAACAATTAAATGAAAAGGGAATGTTTTTAATACTATTAATTTCTAAGAAATTGGATTTAAATTCCAGGAAATTTGTTCACTGTCTACCTCTTTCTGGTAAACCAATATATTTCACTTTCAGCTTGTAAAGCCTGTATAATTATAGCACGTTTAAATACTAATAAATAGTCATTGATTTTCAACAACTGTCTTAGTTTGACTTTGAATCTTGAACTTTACAAAGGGGAGAGTTGAAGGATCTAAATGTTAAAGATTTCTGCCTCTTTAAGTTTGAAACCTGGGGTTAATATTTTCAGGCTCTTAAACATGATGCATACCGGTATGCTATAGTACTAATTAAATCTTGGAAAAAATTTGAAATTATTTAAATAAGTTTTAAACTTTTCGAGTGATCACTATTACTAATCAATTTAATTCTAAAACAAGGCTTCAACTCATTCTCCACAAGTAAAGGTGAAGAAAAAAAGTCTTGTTTAAGTGTCAAATTAATTTATCTTCAACATCTTGCTGGTCAAATAAATTAAGGTAAGATTTTCAAGTCAATTAAAGCTTCAGTGAGAGAAATCTTCTACATATCACTTGTTAGTTGTTATGTGTGTTTTAGTTTTATAGTATAGCATAGGCAATAGCCAGTCTAAAAACTCTATAGTCAATCAACTGTAATAGTAAAGGCTTTAGCATGGGCTATAGCCAAAGGTTTACAAACTCTTGCAGGAACGGCTTTAGCATGGGCAATAGCCAAAGGTTTACAAACTCTTGCAGGAACGGCTTTAGCATGGGCAATAGCCAAAGGTTTACAAACTCTTGCAGGAACGGCTTTAGCATGGGCAATAGCCAATGGTTTATAAACTCTGCAGGAACGACTTTAGCATGAGCAATAGCCAATGGTTTATAAACACTTGCAGGAATGGCTTTAGCATGGGCAATAGCCAATGGTTTATAAACTCTTGCAGGAACGGCTTTAGCATGGGCAATAGCCAATGGTTTATAAACTTTTGCAGGAACAGCTTTAGCATGGGCAATTGTATACAGTTATAAACTGTTACAGCATGGGCAATAGTCAATATTTTATGAAGTGTTTTGGTATGTAGGTATGTAGCTATAAGACCATTATTAATCAGAGTATGCATGTTGTTTACTACATTGTTTAAGTCAGCATTTGCATCATCTTTATTCCTATTTGTTTACAACAGTAGGAAAGAATGAAACAGAAAGTACGACACTTCAAATTGAGGGATCCCTGTCATTATAGGTGTACTCTATTTTTAAAGTTCTTCATTGTATTGAAAGCTGTATTTTGGCATTAGATCAGAATATGTAATCGGCATTAGTCGCAAAGTTGTTATATTTTTCATTGTAATTTTTACATTCTTGTGTAGCAAAGCATGAGATATTGTGACCTAGTTAATACCATTTATAGCTTACTTGATATAGAAAAGGTGATTTTTGTATAATTATTAGATCTGATAATGAAATGATGGTTCATATTATGATCATTATGAAAAAGGAATGTTAAGGATATTTTTCATGGAAGTAAATATCAAGGTGTAGTTTCGTTTTCGTTATTGATCTTTTGTAAAGTCTTGAAATAGGAAAAGATATTTGGTTTTAACCTATTGTATTGACTGTCGTAAATTAGAAATCTATTTTTGGCTTCAATATTGATTTCAGGCATAGTCTTATATATGGCCTTGAGATTAAAACAGTACTTTAGACTGTTTTGAGTTCAAAGTTGGCCATTTTGTATATTGATTTTATAAAGATATTGAAAATATCTGAACTTTATTATAAAATATCACAATTATTTTTTTTCCTTGTCTATAAAGATAACTACTTTTTTATGAAGGAAATCTGTCATGTCAGCAATTTTTAAAAAATTTTTTTTTACTTTTTACCTGTTTTTACGCATGATATAAGTTAAGTTATTTTAGGAATGAAGGTTTAATGGAAGTTTTATGTAAAAAAGTTAATTTATATGTATATTATTAATGCAAGATTCTGGATCGCGGTTTAATTTTGTTGGTATTTTTTTTTTTTAGATTTTTGTTCGATAACAGCACATTCAAGATTTAAAAAAAAAATTGAAACTATTGACATATGAATTTGTTTTGGCATGCAGACTTCAAATTCATGAACAATTCCATGAAAAGATGTATTAGCCATCTGTTTATACTGTTGAATATTTAACAATTTTGCTTTTTGATCAAATGACAATACTTAGAGAATTTTAAAATTTAGGAATTTAGGCAAGGCTGTTGTCAATTATACAGGTATAATTTATATTCTCATACAGGATTAACTTAAAAAATAGGTTATTTGAATTGAGTGTTAAAGAATGGGTGATTTAAATACACATGTAGATTAGTTTTGAAGTGTTAACTAAGTTCCCTTATTTCAATCATATGTACATGTAGGAAACAGTCGAAAAAATGAATAACTTGTACATTTAGGTTTTGGAAAAGAAATGAATTCAGCCGTAAGTAATAAGAAGGTATTACAGGGTCATTGACCTCAAATTTTTCGTGCGGTAAAAAGGCAGCTTTAAAAATCCGTACAATGAGCATATAAAAAAAATTTTAATTTCATACACAACTCATAAATTTTATTACCTGACCCATCCATCACATTAAAAGATGGGACTTTGACTTTTGGACTAGGAAAGCCCAGGTAAAACCTGAATGCCCTTACAGAGTCTGATATAATCAGTCTCATGGTTGCAACTTGATAAAAAAAACCTGTCATAATCCTCACATCTTACCCTTATTTTTAAGTACACAATTAAAACCGCAGCATAAATTGGCAAACCAGTGTCTGAAGTAAGGAGAGTTGAAGGGGGAAGGGGAAGTATCAGGAATAGCAAGGTCTAAGAAAAAAATAATCTAATTTCTCATCCAACTGTCACCTACTAATTAAGAGCACTAGTCTTGATCCTCTGGAAGTTTTGGGCTTAGGTGTACATGTACTCCCAGGAATGTATAGAAGGTGAAAATGCATTGTCATGATCAAAAATGAATTTTTTATGATAGAATATAGTGAAATTATACAGCTAAAGACATTAAAATTTGTTATCTGTGGGATTAAAAATCAATTTATTTGAGAATATTATTCTGAAATCTGCTTAGCTTGCAGAAAAATAAAATGTCTTGGAGAAAAAAGACAAGGTTTTGAAAGGTATGTTATAAAATAATCTTGTTTACAGTCACTGACGAGTTGGTCAAAACATTATCCTATCTTGTTTTTTAAAGTCAATTGAGTTACAGCATTGTTGCATTAATATGACTAGAAATCCTGGGAATATCACTTCTATAAGAAATTGCGAGCTCCAGGGAATGGCCGTTAATGGATTTCCAATAAAACCTTTTTATATGGCCTGCGATCTGTTTCAGTCATTTAATAGACAATGTTTAAGGCAAGTCACACGTTCTTAAACGTAACCTTATATCGCTTTAAATAGCAGTTTTGACACCTTGCCAAAACAGTTTAATAGCACGTAGCTTAAATACATATTATAATTGTAATGTATCAATTGCAAGATTTGTTGACTAAATATTACATTGTAAATCACTCAACGAAAAAAAAAAAATCCTTGAAGAATATTAATTTTGCCTTTTAATGTTTAATATTATAAATCTTTTAAAACCGAAATATTAGTTTCCCAAATAAATTGAACATTACTGCAATACTGCATGAATTATTAAAGTATTATAATTTATGATTATATATGTACAATTGTATTGTTTTGGTAATATTGACCAGAGACATTTAAATGTGCAATAACATTTTTGGGGGCAATTGTTGGTTTCCATTGTTAACTGTATGTAAATTAAAGGACATTAAATTGTAAAAAAGGCATGCATACAAAAAAATACAAACATGTAGAAAATTTCACTCTAGTTTTGTAAGCTTTACAGTCTAGTAAAGCCATGTTAAACATACATTGTAACAATTATGAACATCAGTTTGTTTTTTGCATTGTTTGTTTGATGGTCTCAAGGAATTCGATGTTTTTTTCAACATCAAAGCAGAAAATTAATGTAAAATAAGATTATGTGGCTTTTGTATTTCAAGAATAACAAGGGAAAAAATCTCAAGGTTAAGATACACAATTTTAATGTCATTCTTTGGATAAAGTTTGTTGTAAACCAGGAATTAGTCCTTCTTATTGCTGTTTATTGTTTAGAAATCCTCTGGCTCAGAAATACGTTGTATAGTTAGTTTAATATATACAGGTCTATCATGCAGACTAGGATTTTTTTTGTCATTTGATAATTACCTTTAAATTAGCAAAAGAATGATAGTTTTAAAATAAATACTAGACCAGTTAAGTGCTTTACATTAAGGTGTCTTTAAACCAGCGACAATTGTATGTAGCTCACAAACATGTCCTTAATATATTATTTACCTTCCATTCTGCAAGGAATGTCCACCTCATCAGCTGATATTATGACTCATGTCAACATTAATATACATTGTACTACAAGTTATATTCCGCACTTTTCTTGCAATATATGTGTAATAATTTTAATTATAATTATGGAGATATAATAATAATAAGCATTTGGCATACACATATGCAAAACCTGGTGATGTCAATGCCATTTACATGGATATTCAGTTGTGTTTAGTGAGCTTAAATTTATAGGATATGGTTATAGTTTATTCTCCTAAAATTTTACAATGGAGCATATAAAATATAATTTTTATGTAGCTGACGGTTTCCGGGTCAGTACTACGTGAAATTTGTCCTTCCATTTCACCTAGCTAGTATTTTAGATACAATAAATTGGTGCATAAAATTTTATAATTTTGCTTTGGTTTGGTTTCAGGAAGGAAAGGTCAAAATCCTTTTGGCTAAAAAAGTTTTTCCCTAATTTTCATCATAATATTACCTATACATGTGTATATCACTTTGCTTAATGGCATTCACTGGGGTGTATCCATTTGCATTACCAAATATTCTTGTATTTATACAAAATTGTATGTATAAATATGTATTTCAGAATGGAATTGATCAAGAACCGACCAGCATGGAACATATAAAACGTTCCGATGTGTTCCCAAAGAAAATGCTGGTGTCGGAGGACAACAACTTGCGTGTTCCGTTCCCGCTACTTAGCGGAGAGAGCGCAGAGTTTCTAGGACGAACAGCAGACGGTACAGTGGTTGTATCAAACTTCCGTTTGTTGATTCGTTACAAGGACTCTTTCATCAATGTGCCATTAGGATTGATAGAAGCCGTGGAGATAAGAGATATTTTCTACCTACATATCTACTGTAAAGATGCTACTGTTGCGAGGTAATTAAGAATCTTTACTTCCTGGTTGAATGTTCTGTCATGTGCATGTAATGGCTTTTACTGCAGCTTTAACTGATACAGTAAAAGCTATTTGGATGCCCCTTCATGCGCAAGCATTGTTAAAGGCATTTATGAACTGTCAGACAAAAACTGTCGGCATAGTTTATGTCCGTTACATATGTGCAAATTTCAACATCCTGAGCTGGATTTGAACTCATAGCGTGCAAAAGATTAAGGGTAACAATTTGGAATACAAAAATGAACATATAAAATCAGCTTGGTACAGAATGTACTAAATATTTGAAATAAATACTTCTTCACATAATGATTATCCATTACAATTAATGTTTTAATCATAACCGTGTCAAATTTGATTTAGTGGACTTGCCTTTTCTTTAACTTTCTGTTAATTGTAAGTTTGAGGGGATTCGGTACAAACTTTATAAACTGAATGATTGACTTGAGTATAGAGCCTATTAGGACTTCACAGGTTTGCAAGCTGGCCTCACTGTTGTATCATAGACAACATATTATTGCTGATATATAAATAGCAGTCAATGGATTTAAAGCAGATTAGAATATTGCACGGAAGCTTGAAGTATCAACTGTTCCCCTTCTCACAGCTGTCACTAAACTATAAGCTTTTTTTCTCAAGATAAGCTGAATATAATTTGTACTTGGTCCACCATTATAACAGCTGATTTATGACTCACACTTTCAGTTTGCTGAATCAGCAATATTCCTTTAATTTTTCATAAAACAAATAAACAAACTGAAGACTTTTATAATTACTGTTACAATAAGAATAGTGTTAAGCTATCCAGCTAAGTTTATGAAATGTCAGTGCCTGTTCCTACCTGAAATAATGCATGGACAGTAAGGTACCTGAGGTCTTCCCCCCACCAGTTAAGCTGGTAAGTTTCAATACAACCTGTACAGTGATGATGCTATGCCAAACCCAAACAGAAAAAAAAAGTAGTCAAAACTGGCTGCAAATTTGTTATGATGCAAGACTTAAGTGATCCTGTCTACATAGTTCCTAACATCATAAAAGTCCAAAATCAATGCTGGACGATGGAGATCATAATACTTAATCAATGATGTGTGGGGGTAAGGTCTGAACTGCTTAAGTTAATTATATATCTTCTATCGTTGTGATGTGTTATATGTATAGTGGTGCTGATGTATAGGTCATTCGTACTGTGTTCTTATGGTAGACTGGAGTCTGTTGAATATCTGTTACAAATAAGGAAACAAAGCTCAGACAGCTTTAATTAGATTTTCCCCACTCCTGTTGACTCCATATATATATATATTGTTTGTCTTGAAGTCCGCAATCCCCTGCTGTTACAACTCTCAGATATAATATTCGTGAAGAAGAAAAAAACTGATGATCATCATATTACATAATATTTGAAAAAAAAGTTATGCAATTAAGGTAGTTTGTTATGTCTGTATTCATTGAAACATAGACGTAACTTGTTCTATAGTATTTAATGAGATACAGTATTGTTACGGTAAATCTTCGATTTTGTCTCCAAGAAAATGGGGATTGTCATATTAAAATTTAATTTATAATATACTGGGAAGGTATTGTGCTCATTTCTGAGAAATATTTGAAAATGTCAGTTAATAAACAAAGGGGAAGGTCTAAGAGGCAGTTAAATCACAAGTGAATAAATAACCTTTTCAAGATGGTGTCAAGAGGCAAAGACTCAGAGAGGTCTGTTTATCAGGTTTGAGCCTTGATGATGAATGTGATAAAAGTATTGCATTTATATATGTACATTTTATTCTTAAACAAAGTAGCCAGCTTAGTCGACAACTTATTCTACCCATGTAACCAGTGCAGACCATGATCTCATGGCATGCTGTCTGATCATGGTCTGCACAGTGTTTGCTATTCAGTCAGTATTTTGGCATCATGACTGTATTGACAATCATGTTCTATGAATATAATAAATGGTTTTGTCTAGATTATATTATTAATTAGCAAGTCCATTTAAGATAGTTTAAAGTATGATAATTTAATGTTTATAGCCTTTCTGATTAAAAATGGGGAATTTAAGGTAGTGCTTACAAGCTGCTGACTTAAAGTATTTAAGTATAGGTATCCAACTTGAAATGGATACCACAGAAGTTTCTTGACATGTTGGGACTAAGAAATCATTTTTCGCGACTATTGTTCCGTTTGAATAAAGTCTAGTCTAATAACTTGTGCCCAAAATCAGGCTAAGAATAACACAAAAGTATGTCTGTGTTAGTTTATTTCCTAGTTATCTTTTACATATTGTGCTGTTTTATTAGTGCCTAAGTTAATCTATGTAAGAAATTCAAATTCTATGTTTTAATGCTTTTGAACCTCAATAGAGTTCCTTTAAAATGGACTGTCGACACTGGGGTAGATTTTTATTTAAAGCAAAACATGGTAATGCTTCAGGTATTTAGTTTGTTCTTGAAAGTGTTTAGTTTGTTAGATTGATAAAGCAACAGATTTCTTGTCTGCTAGAAAGGAGGCAGTGTTGTGAAATAAGAAGCTTATTTTCTTATTTATGTCAAACATGTCATATGTGAAAGAAACTCAGATATTTTATATATCTATATACAAGTGAGTGGTATTGATTTTCTATCAAAGACAGCAGCTGTGCTAGGCAGTATAATGTAGATATAAAATGACATTTACATACAAATAATATGGCATGTCAATTTCTGTTTTTAAAAACTTGTTATTATATTAAGTGTACACCAACATTGTCATATCAATAAGGTCAGTCATCCTTGTTCTTCATCAATTTGCTACCTTTCAATTTTCATGTACTTTACTGTCTTTATGAATAGGGGTTATTGATTTAAACGTCTTTATGAAAAGGGGTTGCTTATTTAAATGTCTTATTAAAGCATGATTGTACCCTTTATGTCTTTATTGAAAGATGCTTTATACTAAAATGTCTTTTTGAATAGAAGTTTGTCTAAAAGGTGAAAATTCATGAATTCTTTTCAAATCTATCAAAATAGAAATTGTACTTCTTTTCTACTTAGTAAACCAGCAAATTTGTTGACAGACATCATTATTAAAATGAAACTTGCATGTACATGTATATTACCATCACATTACCAAGAGAAAGCAAGCAATTATAAGTTGTTCAAGTTAAAATCGCATTCGGTATTATGATATTAAATAATGAATGTATTTTTATCACTTAAACAATCAAGTGACCCAGTCAGATTTAGGAATGTTTATACAGGTCAGAAAGCCTTGCCAGTAAAAATCTGAATTGAAACTTGCGTTCAAAGTTGGACGATGTGTTATCACTTGATTACCAGTACTTCATTTGGTCGGTTATTTATTGCTTTAATGTCTTTCATGATGTCAACATTTTACCTGTCATTTTTAAATGGCCTTGGCATACTTTTAATTTTTAATCTCTCTTTAGATTTAAGTTTCAAAATAATGAAATTTAATAATAGTCAACAGCCAATCTAAAATCATTTCAGAGTACATAGATTATGCTACGTATTGGCAGCTTTGAATTTTGTTGTCGTTGCAAGTTTTTAAGATGAATATTGCACTTCAAAGAGCTTAGACATTACTACATCTTAAGTTTAAAAAATACCAGGTTGTCTCCATTGTAAAATAGAACAATTGACAGACAGATAGTTGTTTTTGTAATAGCTTGTTTTTAAGTACTTCCTTTTTTGGTTGCTGCATACATCATTTACTTCCTTTAATGTAGGTCAGGGACAAGAGGTACTTTGTAGCTGTTCAAAAGTGTATTTATTTAAAACATTGGTTTTTTGTTTGACAGGTTATTTCTTGGTTAACGATTTAGAGGTTCTCTTTTTTAAAAAAGAAGACTTTTTTTTTGTAATATTTAAGAGAAATTTTTGCTCTTTTAAAAGAATAGCAATTAAAATTAAATTTTTTTGATTCAAAAAATCCTTTTCCTAATAAACCCTTCCCAAGAACACCCCTCACCCCCCGACAAGCAACCCTTTTCCAAAGAACGCCCCTCCCCCCTTTCAAATCCCCCTTCCCCCATTAAACCCCCCCAAACAACCCCAAAAAATCCCCTCCCAAAAAACAAAGAATGCCCCTCACTCACCAAAAACACCCTGACAAGAATGCCCCTTACCCACCAAAAACACCCTTCCAGACAAGAATGCCCCTCACCCACCAAAAACACCCTTCCAGACAAGAATGCCCCTCTCAACCAGAACATCTAAAATAATGAAATTGGTAGGGGGAGTAGTAAGAGTTTAAACATTTTTGTTAAATTATTTCAGATGTGCGTTTTCGACAAATGAAGCATGCCAGGATTGGTTCAAGCGTCTGTTGACCAAGATTGCTCCAAGACAAAAGATTCAGGATGTATTCGCATTTGCGTTCCATGCATGGTGCATTGACCATAATGCCCAAACAGAGCAATGCACTCCGGATCTTGGATGTTACCAGCTCTGTCCACAAGGTCAGTATTTACCTTTAATTTGCAGGTATTACCGTATCGGAAGTAATAAACCTTTGTCACCGTATACAGCCAGGCTAACGTGCACATCTTGCATTCAAACGTCTCTTTAAAAAAAAATCCAATAGAAATGTGTTTGACCAAGAAAAGGTTGTTTTAGCTTGAATACCTTTATCCGAATATATTCAGAATCTATAATTTGAAAGTTCTATATGGGGGGGCTAATTTAGACTGGGGGCTAATTCAGACTGAAGTGCATGTTGTAAGTGTTTTTACAAAGTAAACATTGTAATATTGATCTGTGCAGTCTGTCGTTATGCTTGTAAAGCTGAGTCATCGGTAGTTATTATTATGCTCAGTTTTGACCTTGGCCGGTTTCTTTTTTATATCGTAGTTATAGTGACATGCCTTCTGAAGAACGTGAACATGTTAACGATTGTCAGTGTGTGGCAGTTTGTATGATATGATATGATTGAATACACTGTTCACTGTTGATAAAATTACCATGTCTTATTATACCAGTGGGTGGGAGCTTTTAAAGGGATCAAAAGGATGATAATTGATATATATAATTATAAATATATCACAAAATTTAAAATTGAATTTAGCATGCATAATAAATCATGTAGGTAAATTATGTCTTATCAGAACATTTTAATCAGCCTAAAGTTCTTGAGCTTTTTTTTACATAATTTACCGACTATAGGAGTGTACTTTATGCCCTATCGGGTAAGGTTGCCGTCTTAAAATCTCTTGCCCATCACCACCTCAACAGAAATTTTGGATTTTTGTAATATGAGGAAGCTATCGAATTGGTGAGGTTTTACTCAAAGACTTGTTTTTGCTTGAAATAATGCATATACAGGGCACCTAAGATCTGGTCTCAGGAAAGATGCCATAAATATTCAGTGTCAGTAAGGCTTAAAAAACCAAACAAATTGAATGGGTTTTCAAGAGAACTTAATTTCTAGTTGGGGGTTTTTGTTGTTCTGCCAAAATACCTTTGCCAAAAGTACAAAATTGCAAACAAAGTAATATATTAACCTAAAAACGTCAGGTTTATATTCCATGTGTGACAATTTTTTTAAATGATCGAGACTAGTTATAGACTTGTATTAAGGAAGTTGAACAGTGATACCATTTACCATTTAGTTTTGTTATGTATACGTGCTGTGTGCAAATTGCATGTGACAAAAAATGCATGCATGTTCTCATGTTAATGTAGGTTATACCCCATGAATACAATTGCACATCTGATAATATTGTGCTATATCAGCAAAGTAAACAATTAAACAGCGAATTTAATCTGAATAACTTTAACCTACCAGATGACATCTCTTTTAAAAATTGAAAAATGCATGCATATCTGGTTTAATACTAATCATAATTCATGTCCTTGAAAATAGCTAGAATGGTCACGTGATGTTTGTATTTGCAAAATATAAACTGTAATGCCACATGTTAAATTATTACAGTGGTTGTTATTTGAATTGATCTTCAAAAGCGCGTTATTATCAGTGCAATTTCAATATTAATAGTTTTTCAAAATGAACCTTGTAAATTAGCCTTTATTGTTAACTTTGAGATTTCAGCCTGAATGCCAACAGTACTTTCGGTTTCAAAGCATATAATCAAATTAATTTTCCATTAAATGACTATTTTCAACTGAAAATGTATAATTTTTTCTCATCAAATTAAATAAAAGTAAATTAACGCAAATATAGAAAACTTAATTAATTTAACCCTTTTCCTACTAGTGGCAACTGAATTCACACATGCGACCAGTTCAGACAAAGATCGGCTAGCTGCTGAATAGGTACATCCAGCCTGATCATAGTCTGCACTGTTTACTATCCTGATGAAAGGTTGGTTAATCAAGTCCTTCGACCTGATGACTGGTAAATTTCACAATGAAAATAGACACTAAATGAACAAATGGCCAGTACTAGACTAAGTGCATTATCTAGATTACCAGTCAGATTTTTGTTGTTTTTTTTTTTGTTTTTTTTGGGTTTTACGTCACATCGACATAGTATAGGTCATATCGCGACGTTCCAGCTTTACTGGTGGAGGAAGAGTCCTCAGGTGCCCTTCCGTGCATTATTTTAGGCAAGAACAGGCACCTGAGTAGAACCACCGACGTTCCGTAAGCTAGCTGGATAGCTTCCTCACATGAAAGAACCCAAAGTCCCTGTTGGGATTCGAACCCACAGAGGTGAGGGGCAAGTGGTTTGAAGTCAACGACCTTAACCACTCGGCCACGGACGCCCCACCAGTCAGATATTGATATGTGCAGGTCTATATATGACCGAAAATCTTAACACATTATTCAGGTGATGATAATTATAATGATAAGAATAAAGATATAATTAAATGTAAACAAAACAATGAATCATCATAGATAAATTTTAAGATGTACTTATATCTATAAGGTTATCTGCAAAATGTTATTTGATAACAATATACAATATTTATTATGCTCCCCGAAAAATTTCGGGGGAGCATATAGTCGGCGCCTTGTCCGTCTGTCCGTCTGTCCGTCCGTCCGTCTGTCCGTCTGTCCGTCCGTTGTCTTGTCCGGAGCATAATTTGAAAACCCTTGGAGATAATTTGTTGAAACTTCATACAGTGGTAGAGGGCATCGAGGGGGAGTGCAGTGTCAAAGAACCATAACTCTATTTTGCCCGGTTTTTGAATTATCTCCCCTTATAGAAAAATCTTGTCCGGGGCATAACTCTAAAACTATAAGAGATATCAACATGAAACTTTGTAGGTGAATAGATCTCAATGGGTAGATGTGCAGTGCATAAGAACAATAACTCTTTTCATCCTAATTTTGGAGTTATTGCCCTTTGTTAATTTTAATACTTTGAACTTTGTCCGGAACATAACTTGAAAACCCTTGGAGATAATTTGTTGAAACTTCATACAGTGGTAGAGGGCATCGATGGGGAGTGCAGTGTCAAAGAACCATAACTCTATTTTGCCCGGTTTTTGAATTATCTCCCTTATAGAAAAATCTTGTCCGGGGCATAACTCTAAAACTATAAGAGATATCAACATGAAACTTTGTAGGTGAATATATCTCAATGGGTAGATGTGCAGTGCATAAGAACAATAACTCTTTTTGTCCTAATTTTGGAGTTATTGCCCTTTGTTTATTTTAATACTTTGAACTTGAACTTTGTCCGGAACATAACTTGAAAACCCTTGGAGATAATTTGTTGAAACTTCATACAGTGGTAGAGGGCATCAAGGGGGAATGCATTGTCAAAGAACCATAACCCTATTCTGCCTGTTTTTGAATTATCTCCCCTTATAGAAAAATCTTGTCCGGGGCATAACTCTAAAACTATAAGAGATATCAACATGAAACATTGTAGGTAGATAAATCTCATTGAGTAGAGGTGCAATGCAAAAGAACCATAACTCTGTTAAGCCTTATTTTTGAATAATCTCCCCTTTTAGAAAAATCTTGTCCAGGACATAGCTGTAAAACTATAAGAGATATCAACATGAAACTTTGTAGGTAGATAAATCTCAATGGTAGATGTGCAGTGCACAAGAGTCATAACTCTATCTAGCCTAATTCTGGAGTTATTGCCCTTTGTTTATTTTTACTTTTTGAATTGTCCAGGACATAACTCAGAAATCATAGAGATTATCATCAAGAAACTGTGTAGGTTGATAGATCACATTGATTAGAAGTGCAGTGCAAAGAACTGTAACTCTGCCTTGCCTAATTTTGGAATTATTGCACTTTGAACTTTTTCCACGGACATAACTCTGAAACTGCAAGAGGTGTACTTTCCTGTGTCCAAAACCTATTCGGGGAGCATCACCCGGCTCAAACCGGGCTCTTGTTTATATACCTCGTACATGTATTGACTATTATGCAATATTTGTGTATTATTCTATATATCAAACTAGCCAGATTAGTAAATATTTAATTTAAAACCTAATATAGAATTTTAAAGATATTTTGTAAATAAAAAGTTATGAATGTAACCAAAGGCAATAAAATGACCTACTTTTTGATAAATTTTCTTTCACTATGGGCATTCAATCGTGAGAGGTTAAATTTAAGTTAGCAATCTTTTACTGAATATAATTAAAGAATGTAATATAAACATGGTATATATACTAGTATGGTATGATATATGATTATCTTAAGTATGAAGTAATCTAAAGTATATAATTATCTTTATCGTGAGTACATGTTATCTGTATATGACCGAGTTAGATTATAAACAACTGCTTGTCATTCCAGTTAATTACATCATATTTACGTAAATGTTCAATATGTAATTTTTAGGGGCATATGTAGCCAAGCTTCCTGTTGTCCTATTTTTGTAGTCTGCATTGATTAGTGTCAATTCTGATTTTACCCAGTTCTGTATTGAACTCCTTTAAACTTTTATTGAATGAACATGTCAAATTGAATTATTCAATGAAGGCCTGTCTGTTACACATATTTTAATTGGGTACATTAATGTGAGTCTACCTGACAAAATAAAAAATAGAGCAATTGTTCACCTTTTGTTGATACGGATTTTATACATTTTCACTTAATTGAGTATTCAATTTTGACCGTTTTCTGCCTTTCCTTGTTGCTCCTTCCAGGAATTCCTGAAAAATAACTTTTTGTTGGTGGGATTGACATATCCTGGGGGAAAATTACAAGTTTAATTTACTGCGATGATATATCCGTTAATTGATGCTAATGTTCGTAGAAAACTTACTGAATTATTGACATTCAGCTATTATTTTAGCTACTGTGTCATAGAACAGAAGAAGTATCAACAAGTTTCTGTCATCTTTCTTTTTTGTTGTGTATTAAAGATATGAATTGTACTGTTTATTTTCATACTCAGATCCTTATTTTGCCATGATAATTTAAAGGTAATTTTTTATGCAATTTGATAGCTAATTTCAAGTTTTGATGCATATTTTTGGTCTTTTTATATCATTATTTGCTCAGCTCGGATGTAAAATTTATAAGGGGCTAATGTATTTATAAGACTTGTAAAGCAATTTTATATACCTTAAGATTTTTTTAAGTACAATTTGTAAACCCATGAGAAGAAGAAAATTGGTGCAATTATTGTTAAAGGTCATTTAGAAGGGTAACCAAACTTTATATTGCATACTTTAACTAAGTTATGTGAGAACAATTTTTCAAGTAACAAATTTGTTTGTTTAGCAATTTGTATCAGATTAAGAAACTACATAGCTAAGGGATTTTAACATGTGAAAACAAAGTTTTAATTTTTTTAATGCAATGCTAATTTATTGCAATTCTTAGGTATGTTTACGCATTCATTTAAAGTTAATGGCCTTGAGGTTGTAATGCATACAGCGTAAAATTATTTTGACGTAAGTATTGTGGCATTGTTCGGGGAAAAAATAAACATGTCAGAAATATGACTTGGAGGTGTAGCTTAACTAACTAAGTTTAGGTTTCAGTCACCAAGTTGATTTATGAGTTCATTAGCATGTTTCTTTATTACAAATACGTAAAGAATTTCAATCTGTTTATGATACATAATGTGGTATTGCTTTTAAATAAACTATATATTGACCTTTTATAATATCCATTACTCTAGAATAGTAATAGTTGCATGGTCCATTTCTGATAACACTGTCTGGTTACATATTCAGTGGTTACAAGTTAAATCCTAAAAGCTCTTTACTCTTCACTAATATAATTACTGTTGGATGAAATTTAAATACTAAAAACAGAATCCCTAAAGAAAGTCCAATGCAACAAATTTGAAAATGTTGCAGGCTTGTTTAATCGAGCATGTTCATGGAAATACTGGAAAGTGCAAGTTACTGCATGGCCACACCCCCTAGCATCGGCTTAAGACATATTCAACATTAAAACATTTTAAGTCCTGTAAAAAGTATTGGTGTTTTTACATCAAAGAAATGGAATTATGGTTATTCTTGAATGAATAATCCGGATTCCCTTATATTACTAAAAACATTGAAATTATTAATATTAGTAATACTCTTCTAGATGGACTTCCTAATTTTAGTTTCCATTGGCAGCTTTATGTTATACGGTAAATAATGAACTGTTTAAGCACGAGCAGCAATTATAGTGCCACCAATAATTATATAGAATCCACTTTGACTGTAGCTTGCACAATCTTGACTTAAACATAATTTTATTTCCAATAATGTTTAAAATCCACATATTGAACAATTTTATCTATCAATTTATCAACTTTGAATTGCAATCATGACATTCCCACTATATACCGTGGCTGGTTAAAGGTTAACTGCGAGAAAATATGGATTTATATCAAAATATTTTTTCTTTCTTTCTTTGTTAGCTTTAATTTGGAAAAATGGATTATTGTAGAGTCAAACATAATGGGTCTATAGAGGTTTTACAAAGGTTTACTTAGTAAATATATATATAAGAATACATAAAAGAAACAATAATGTATAGGAATGTCCTGTATTGACCTTATTACCTCATAGTAACCTCACTTATCCTCTATGTAACCTCGTTTGTCTCAATATGTGGTCTCAGTCATTACAGAGCTGAATTTATTATAATCTCCCAACATATGTCTGTAAACTATAGGTCAGTATGTAAACAATGAGTTAAAATGTGGAAAGAAAACATTGCTGTAAATATATCATGGCTACTTGATAAAACACTTATTTCCTTCCGGCTTACATCATATCATTTTGGAAGTAGTTGAATCTTAGTTTTAATAGTGAAAGGTTTATGTTTGACTTTACAGAATGTAGAAATTGAATCTTTTAGATATATTATTATATAGTCAATGTAACTAACAAAAAGAAATTAATATCAGACTGCAATCCCTATAGCATTCAGTCACTCTGTGAGAGCTGCAAATAGTGCCACTTTAACTTTGAAAAACTTTAAATTCACTCACACCACTTGCCCCTCACTGCTGTGGGTCCGAATCCCGACAGGGACTTTTGATTCCTTAATGTGAGGATGCTATCCAACTAGCTTACGGATTGTCGGTGCTTCTTAGCTCAGGTGCCCATTCGTGCCTGAAATAATGCACGGAAGGGCACCTGAGGTCTTCCTCCACCAGTAAAGCTGGAACGGCGCCATATGACCTATAATTTGTCTGAGTGATGTAAAACCAAATTAAACAAACAAACAATTCACTTACTGTTACATTGATTAAGTGCCATAGTAAACTCTATAATATACCTCTGGATCATTATCCAGCCACCTTGTGGAATTCGGTCATTTGTCCTTCACAGATGCCTATTCTTGCTAACGTTGATGCATGGAGGGCTTGCATTACACCTTAGTCCTTGTATGGCCCCACCACTTTAGACCAAAAGAAAAGACAATCATTCCATATTGAAGAATAAATTCTAATCACTTGTAAAATTCTTTATGTATTTTCAGGAGTAGCAAAGGTGTATAATTTTACCAAAGAAATTGAGAGAATGAAGTTTGACCTGAGTTCTGCCTGGAGATATACAGACATAAATAAAACATTTGGGTAATAACTGTTGTATCATTAGTATAGGTTTAATCTGCTGAATTTCTTAAATGGACTTGTCCATTATCTTAATTACCTCCATTTTGGGACTGAGTCCATTATTAACTTTTGGGATATCAGGATGAAAAATTTAGTTATTTATGAGTTCTAAATTTAGAATGAAACAAGTCCATTGTACAAATTCAGCAAGGTTAGGTCTAAGACATTTTCAAGATGTGTATCGGTGAAATTTCAAGCTGAAGAGTCTTTGTAATCATTTAAAGGTGAATTAAGTCACTTTAAGTAAAAAAATTGTTATTTTTTTATTTCATAAAAAGCTTTTCTATGTTTGATATTTCGTTACAGCATTCTGATATGGTACTCATTAACCATATATAGCTGAACATGTTTTGCTTTTTGTTGTCATTAATTGATTTCGACAAGGTACAACTTTGTTTACTAGTACATTATTCTACATTTATCAAAAATTATTACACTTTCCTTCATTTCATAAGTATCTCACAAACTCTAATCTATTGTTAAAACATTATTTAACACAGAAAAACATTATTTAATACAGATTTGCTTTTTCTTCAGAGCAAAAATTATATTAATAAAAGGGTTGATCACAAGACTGCAGTAACTCATATGAAATAAAGAAGGACTTACAACAGTTTTGTGGTCAACCCTCGATAAATTTTATGTATGAATAAAAAAACTGTGTTGCCTTTTCAGGTTATGTTCATCATACCCATGTGAGCATATTGTACCCCATGATATCTCTGACGAGAACTTGAAGAAAGTTGCAGGATTCCGAGCTCTTCAACGATTTCCATCAGTGGTTTGGAGGTAATGTTTAATGTTTAAACTGGCATGTGTCATTTGTCACTGACTATGTAATAATGTTGTAAGGAAATATGAGAGAATGATTCAAAACTAATTATTCTGTAATTACATTTGCATTGATTTAGAACTGAAGTATGGTCTGTTTTGTTAATTTAGAATCAGTCTCTTGGGTAGAATTGTCATTGCAATAGGTATCAACTCAAGTTTCTTCCTATCGGAACAATGTCATGAATAACAGCGTTTAGTTTATAATAATGGTTATTTACTTCCCCTCGGTGTTTTCAAAAATGTCAATGCACATTATATTTGTAACAGCATTATTTTAAAAGATGAAAAACTTATAGAAAATCGACCTAGTAATGAAACTGCCATTATAATCATGCTTTTGCTGTCAGCATTTTGTATCTTGATAATTATTATTATTGTATTAGTGAATTTACTGAATTATTGCCTTGTGTTTGAGTTAAGCTTAAAATATTTGTTAATATTGTTGTATCTTAGAAATTCTTGTAATATCTTCCAATAAGTGGTAATTTAGGAAATATACAAAGTAGAAGGAAGAAATTTTATGTGCATGTATTTTATGAGTGTTGTAAATTTTAATGAGATTTTAATTTGTTTAGTTTAAGTGTTAATTTGTTGAGGTATTTTATTGGTTAGCAGTTACCTAGTTATTCTGTTTTTTCCAATTCTAAACCAGTACTTAGCTGTTTATCTTCAAGTACTGACTAACTTGTTAACACATGAATTTTTGTCAGTGCTGTCAATTTTAGGGCCTACAGTTTGTTGGACAATTTTCTTTAATCAAAAGTGATTTGAATTCTGCTGACCTTACAATCTCTTACCATGCGTACTATAGTTTCTTCCAGGCAAGTTGAGGCATATATGTGCCTCTGAATAAAAACTGTGTAGGCCTTTGATTGGTAGTAATTTATGAAATAAAAGATAAGTTATTTATGTCAAAAAAATGCAACCGACTGAAAAATGCATAGGTTTATATTTTATTTGATATCTGACTGAAAGAACAATATTAAAGCTGTAAATTTGACAGAAATAATAGTAGTAAGGTGGAGAACAAATATTAAAAAAATATAATTTGAATTTTAGTTTGAAGATGTTATATTTTTGTATTACAGAAACAACAGAAATGGTGCAGTATTGGTCCGGTGCAGTCAACCGGAAATGGGTTTCTTTGGATGGCGGAACACTGATGATGAGAACTTATTGAATTCCATTCCTGTAGCATGTTCAATGAATCCTGGCTCAAAGAATAAACAGTCCATTAGGGAAGATGGTAGTGGGTCTGATCTCAGTTCAGATGGTAATGTTTTGTTGTATTTTTATAACACATTAATTGAATTACAAAACGTCATATTAGAGAAATGCCTGTTAAATGCAGTATTTGATGAAGAAGTGGAAACAATCTTGTGTTTGTTTTCATTACATATAGACTTACAGTGCATTGAAATTGGTCCCAGGATAGTTAGATCTACATAGTTTGCGCCCGGCTAGTTCTATAATCTTTCACAGACTTATTTAATACAAGTCTGTATGAAGTGATGTCTTATGTTAGATTCCTATATATCTTTCATGGGATAAACAGTTGAGCTTTCTTGATGTAAGATTATAAAACTTAAGTTTCAAGATCAGTTTGCAATTCATCATAGCCTGTATAGTTTTAATTCCTGGCGTGGATTTCAATCTGAGTGAAAATCAGACACTAGGCATGATGCAGTGACAACATCAGAAATATTATTTTATTGTTGCATTGAAAAACTTATGTGTGATAAGTTATCACTACCCAATCAATACTTAGATGTTTTTGATACTTACATTTGATGCTTTATCAATACAAATCAATACATAGACCCAGAGAGAACAGATTGGTAGAGAGAAGTCGGTGAGATATGTATATATAAATGAAGGCATACTCTAGAGGTTAAAATGGAATCTGAATCTGTATACAGTTTTGTCTGAAAGTGTCTACATATCATTATATATGTGTGCTTAGTGTGAAATGTAACTCGAGGTAAACATTTGAGATGATTAATGTACCGATCCATGACAAAACCAACATAATGCTTTTGCGACCAGCATGGATCCAGACCAGCCTGCGCATCCGCGCAGTCTGATCAGGATCCATGCTGTTTGCTTACAAACCATATAACAAGTAGTGAAACGGATAGCAAACAGCATGGATCCTGAATAGACTGTGCAGATGCGCAGGCTGGTCTTGATCCATGCTGGTCGCAAAAGCATTATGTTGGTTTTGTCATGGCGTGGCTCATTTAAAGAAGTGTCTTTAATGTCAGATGGGGTCATGGTCTAACAGTGTCATTAAGCTGGCTGAACTGTTGGTGGTGCCACTTGGATACCAACATGTTTCTTGAAGTAAATCATTGTTTTGTTATCTGGTATGATGTGAAACCAATGCTATGTGTCACTAATCAATATTTTCTACTAAACTTCAAGCAGATTTTCTTATTTTTGCCATATCTGTGAGAAAGATGCTTTAACAACTGGCTTGCTTTAATGTACTTAAAATTTAATGTTTCTCTAGTCTGTAATTTTATAAGAGAAATGTTTCATTTAAATTGAAAATTTAACCAGAAACCATGTTATAATGGTTCCCAAATTGATTCTGTATATAAACTCAGTTTTTACTTCACACAAATGTTGTGTAAAGAACACAGAAGTTGATTAAAGTAAATAAGAAGTTAAAAAATAAATGTCTAATCTGTTTCTTCAACTAAGTACATATATATAATATAATTAATGCATTGTTTGTAAAAAGAGTACAATGTATTAGTTTATGTTTTGGGACAACAATTTCTCATCTTTGTCATTTTTATGGAGAAGAAACAATAAAATTAAGAAAAATAGTTAAATAAATTTATGTAAAATTAAAACTTTGTCTATGACATTTATTCAATGCAATAAATCATGAGATATGACATGTTATAAACATTCAGAAAAAATGAGGGAAACAATTTTTACCTTTCAACTCTTTGAAATCCTTTCATCTATACCATTAGAAAATAGTGGAGTTTAGACTAATTACTGCCAGATTAAAAAAAATGTTATAGTGTTTCAATGCTGAGATCCCTAATATTAGTAATGGGATATAATACTTTAGCAAAATTCATATACATGTAGAAATTTTTTTTACCTTTCAACTGTTGAATACTTTGGGCAATAATGTCTTATAATCTATTCCAGTAGAGTATTTTTGAAACCAGCTTATTAATGTTGGTTGGCAGATAAAAAAAAGTTGTACTGTTTCAATGTTGAAATCCCCAAAATTAGTAATGGGATATTCCAAATACAAAGCAGGATGAGTTTATAACATAAATACAGGGTGATGTTGTTGGGTTAATTACATTAGTTTTGCCTGTGTAACAGATAGATCTGTTACTTTGAAGACTTCTGCAATGAATTTCATCTAAGATGACAAACTGTCAGCTATACTAAAAGTTGTAAAATTGCCAACTTGTTTGAATTCATTGACTAGGGGTTACAATGATGAATGATTTGGCTTTAAGCCATGTATTTTAACTGTTTACTGACCTGATATGTTTGCTTTAAATAAGGCTGTAACTATTTCAATAGAAAAATTCAATTTTACCACACAAACTATCTTAATCATATTTCAAATGCAGCTTTTGGACCAAACAAATGAGCCGCGTCACGACAAAATCAACATAATGGGTTTGCAACCAGCATGGATCCAGACCAGCCTGCGCACCCGTGCAGTCTGATCAGGATCCATGCTGTTCACTATCAGTTAATCTACTTGTTATAGAGTTTGTAAGCGAACAGCATGGATCCTGATCAGACTTTGCGGATGCGCAGGCTGGTCTGGATCTATGCTGGTCGCAAACGCATTATGTTGGTTTTGTCGTGTGACGCGGCTCAATTATATCTTTTTCATGGAAAATTTCGAAATATATATTAACTGAATAGCAAATAGTGCAGACCTTGATCAGATAGCACTGATGTACCAGCTGAACTTGGTCTGCAATGGTAACAAGAGTATGTTCAACAGTAAAACTACAGTTATTTGGCCATCAAGTGTCTCCAGCACTTCTTCACTTGACATGTGAACCAGCTTCCTTTCCTGTAATAGAGTTTCAGAGATTGACAGATATTCCTATTTGCCACGGAGGCTTTATAAGGCTTTATTCTACAAATCGGACTTTAATTAGAATAATTATCTTGAATGATAATAGTAGTTTAGCTTTAATTAAATGATAATTGTAAAAGTTATTATAATTAAGAAATCTTAATGTACTTTCAGACTCATCAACAATGGATTCCGAGGAGAGTGAGGAGCCAAAGAAAATGTTGATAATAGATTGTAGATCATACAGTGCTGCATTTGCTAATAGAGCCAAAGGAGGAGGAATGGAATGTCCAGGTATGGTTTAGTAAATTCATGGAGATCTGCATACAATTTAAGTCATCATTACCATGCAGACAAAAGGACGGTGAATAGACTCCGGACATGTGATCAGTCTTATTAGGTGTACTGACTCATTGCTTTGGAGGGATCACTCTTTCTCCAGATTTTTATTAGCTTACCTGTCACAAAGTGACAGGGTGAGCTTTTGTGATCGCTTTTCGTCCGGCGTCCGGCCGTCTGTAAACTTTTACTTTAAATGACATCTCCTCATAAACCATTAAGCCAATTTCATCCAAACTTCACAGGAATGTTCCTTTGGTGGTCACCTTTAAAGATTGTTCAAAGAATTTAATTCCATGCAGAACTCTGGTTGCCATGGCAACCGAAAGAAAAAACTTTAAATATCTTCTTTTAAAAAACCGTAAGAGCTAGAGCTTAGATATTTGGCACGAAACATCTTCTAGAGAGTGTCTACCAAGTTTGTTCAAATAAAAGCCCTGGGGTCAAAATTGGCCCCGCCCCGGGGGGTCATTGATTTTCCCTATATACTTATAGTAAAAACTTAAAAAATCTTCTTTTAAAGAACCAAAAGAGCTACAGCTAAGATATTTAGCATGAAACATGTTCTAATGGGTGTCTACCAAGTTTGTTCAAATAAAAGCCCTGGGGTCAAAATTGGGATTGCCCCGGGGGGTCATTGATTTTCCCTATATGCATATAGTAAAAACGTAAAAAATCTTCTTTTAAAGAACCCAAAGAGCTATGGCTAAGATATTTAGCATCAAACATGTTCTAATAGCTGTCTACCAAGTTTGTTCAAATAAAAGCCCTAGGGTCTAAATTGGCCCGCCCTGGTGGGGTCATTGATTTTCCTAATATGCATATAGTAAAAACTTAAAAAATCTTCTTTTAAAGAACCAAAAGATTTAAAGCTAAGATATTTAGCATCAAACATGTTCTAATAGGTGTTTACCAAGTTTGTTCAAATAAAAGCCCTTTGGTCAAAATTGGCCCGCCCCGGGGGGTCATTGATTTTCCCTATATACATATAGTAAAAACTTAAAAAATCTTCTTTTAAAGAACTCAAAGAGCTATGGCTAAGATATTGAGCATCAAACATGTTCTAATAGGTGTCTACCAAGTTTGTTCAAATAAAAGCCCTGGGGTCAAAATTGGCCCCACACCAGGGGGTCATTGATTTTCCCTATATGCATATAGTAAAAACTTAAAAAATCTTCTTTTAAAGAACCAAAAGAGTTTAAGCTAAGATATTTAGCATGAAACATGTTCTAATAATTGTCTACCAAGTTTGTTCAAATAAAAGCCCTGGGGTCAAAATTGGGCCCGCCCCGGGGGATCATTGATTTTCCCTATATGCATTATAGTAAAAACTTAAAAAATCTTCTTTTAAAGAACTCAAAGAGCTATGGCTAAGATATTTAGCATCAAACATCTTCTAATGGGTGTCTACCAAGTTTGTTCAAATAAAAGCCCTGGGGTCAAAATTGGCACCGCCCCGGGGGTCATTGATTTTCCTTATATGTGTATAGCAAAAACTTAAAAAATCTTCTTTGAAAAAACCCAAACAGCTAGAGTTAAGATATTAAGCATGAATCTTTTAGTGAGTGTCTACAAAGTTTGTTCAAATAAAAGACCTGGGGTCAAAATTGGCCCCGTCTCGGGGGTCATTGATTTTCTTTATATGTGTATAGCAAAAACTTAAAAATCTTCTTTGAAAAAACCCAAATAGCTAGAGTTTAGATATTAAGCATGAAACATCTTCTAGTAAGTGTCTACAAAGTTTGTTCAAATAAAAGCCCTGGGTCAAAACTGGTCCGGCCCCAGGGGTGTCATTGTTTTTAACTATATGTGTATAGTAAAAACTTTAAAAAAATCTTCTTTCAAAAAGCCCAATGAGCTAGAGCTTAGATGTTTAGCATGAAACATCTTCTTATGGGTGTCTACCGAGTTTGTGCAAATTAAAGCCCTTGGGTTAAATTGGCCCTGCAACGTTGGGGGGTGGGTGGGGGTTGGGGGCCTATATACAGGTGAGCGACCTCAGGGCCATCATGGCCCTCTTGTTAGGTGTACAGACTCAATCAAACCGAGCCTGCAGTTATCAAGTAATTATGTTGTGATTAATGCTTCTGAAGGATCACCCTTTTCCAGATCTTTAGGTGAAAGTTTTAACTTAGATTGTGATAGAAAGTTTGATAAAGACTTTCAATAAGGTTAGATCAAGGCTTAGTAGTAAGTTTGTGAAGTCTGACAATAAAGTCTGTCTTTACACTACCTTTTCAATCAAACAACAAAATATGATTAGTCTGTGCCACCAGTCTAGAGCTAGGCCAGCCTATTAATGCATGCAATATGACAAGGGACTGAACTGTTGGATGCTTTTATTCTCTTTTCTTATGCTAACAATCGACTGCTCCACTTTCAAAGTATGCCATTAAGCAGTGAAAGGATTAATTGGTTTTAGCTGATGTCCCTGAAAATGACGATGAGCAGTCCCAAATTTCAAACAGGTCAAGTCCATTTGACAAATTATGTGGAAACTGCGCCAACAAATAGAAGTCTACCACATGTACCGTATTCAAATTACACAGATAAAATGTCAAATTTTTTAAATGTTTTTGTTCACAATACTAATATGTTAACATGATAAATTGATGGGAAAATATGGCATTAAAAATCCCTGCTAACATTGTAAACATCTTGGAATACTGAAATGATTTACTGTTTTGCTTGCCTTGTTATTGACTAGTTGCTACTAGCAACTCAAAATCTGGTTATGCTCTTTCAAGGAATTAAGAGATTAGAGATTTTTTTCTCAATTCAAATGAGGAAATTAAAAAGTCGGTCATCTGTAATCAGAATTCCTTTAACTGTTGGAATCGTGGAATTATGTCATGTCCTTGAATATTCATGCTAATTACCTCTTTTGTCAGCATGCGGTTAGAATTGTTGTTTTTTTGCATGTGTCAGCATTATTTGATTTCCGTCTCTAAGTTGATAGTAATTATGCAATAACAGTAACGGATAATAATTTTTGAAGTTGGTATTTGTGATGTAAGTCATGACAGTGAAATTATTAGTTAAGTAAATTAATTGTTGAACATGTCTTGATTAAACATTGAATTAAAGAAGTATTAGGTTAATCTTCCTGAAATTAGCGACATTGTTTTTCCGGAGTACTTGTTATGAACGTGTGTTAGATGTTTATTCTGATCATTATTCTGGTTAATTATTGATAAATGATAAACATACAGGAGGCCCTTTATAATATATGAGTAAACTTAATAACTTTGGACATTCAATCAGGCATATACATCAAAGCATGACATTGAAGCAGCTCCTAGTAAATCAAATTTAATTTATCTCGAAGTAAAATGCCCAGTCTGTTAAAATTGCAGATACATGTACCTAGAGTCAACTGTTGTTGTAAGTCACTGACTGTTTCCTTGAGTCTGTTCATTAGAGATACATGTAATAGAAATTGCAATATCTTTCTTGCTTTGTAGTAATGAAAAAAACCTGTTTTCAATCCACAATAAATATAAGTATTGGAACCAAAATTGTTCATAAAATAAAAAAAATAAAGATTTATAAGAACACTGAGGTGAAGTATTTGGCAATTTTTTTACAGCTGCTGAAAAAGTTAAAACTATTAACAACTAAAATCCAAAGAATCTACAATAAAAAGTGAAACAGGTTAAGTCTTACTGTCTATTACACATGTGGATTAAGATATAGGAAATGTAGGTTATAAATGATACAGTTTTTGTAGAATATCTTCACTGGATGTTAATATTATGATTGACAATGATTGAGCTCTTTTATGATTGTGCTCTATTATGGTTGTGATTTATTATGAGTGTATTATGATTAGGGCTCTGTTATGATTGGGCTGTAGTGCTCTTTTATGATTCTGCTCTACTTGTATTGTACACTGGTGTTCTATTATGATTGTGATCTACAACTCTATATGATTGTGCTCTATTAAGATTGTGCTCTATTTAAAATGTGCTCTATTACATGTATTATGATTGTGCTCTATTATGATTGTGCTCTATTGTGATTGTGTTCTATGATGATTGTGCTCTTTTATGATTGGGCTATTTTACAATTGTGCTCTATTATGATTGTGCTCTATTGATTTGTGAATGTGCTCTATTTCAGAATATTACCAAAGTTGTGAGGTACAGTTTATGAACCTCGCCAATATCCATGCTGTACGGAAAAGTTTTTTTACCCTGAGAAGTCATTGTAATTCTGCTGTTGACCAGGCTAGGTAAGATGTTTTATTGAAATCTTCTGTGTTTAGTTGAAGCAAAAAGAACTCTGCAGTGATTTAAGCTTAGAAGATTATGTAAAAGCTTGTTTACCGTATCTGATTTCCTTTTCTCAGATATCCGGGATGAGTCATAGAAGTTAACAAAGATTTTTTTTTTCAATTTTTAAGCAGTATATGTTAATGAAAATTTTATGTAATATTTAGATTTCTCAAAAAGTATGTAATCAAAGGCCTTTGTATATGACTAAGATCATTATTTGCCAATTCCTTATAATTTGTTTAAAAATTCTAGTGTGTATGATATTTGAGTCATAGCTTTTTAAAAATGTCCAAAGAATCCATTGGATTTAGCATATTTATTTAAGCTTGATTGCGAAACAAGATCTTGCAACTTACACTAATTACTTTCAAGTCCTCTTCCTGGAACCAACCAGTACTGGTGTCATATGAAAAAACATAGTCTTGACCCGAGTAGAACTTGAAATCATGATCTCTGGGTTGAGAGGCAGACACCTTAACCACTAGGCCACTGCTCCCAATGAATCCATTGACTACAAGTGGGCTGTAGCTATGATAAAAACAAGCTGACGGAAGGTTGGTGGTTCTACTTGGGTGCCCACTTGTGACTGAAATGATGCACAGACCATTGAAAGAGCTCCTGATTTGCAAACTGGAAATATTTTTTATTACAACTGTCCTGGATGTTAATATTTTTCTGTTGTTTAACCTCCTTGGTCTCTATTCATTTCCAGCTGGCTGTCAGGACTGGAAAACACAAAATGGCTGCATAATTTAGCCAGTCTCCTGAAGGTTGCAAGCCTGGTGGTGAATGTTAATGAAAAGGAAGGGAGACCAGTCTTAGTGCATTGTTCTGATGGTTGGGATAGGACACCTCAGATTATCTCCCTTGCAGAGCTGATGTTAGATCCATATTACCGCACTGTAGAGGTAATTTAGCTTTCCTGACATGAAATTATAGTTATTTTTAGCATTGTAACTTTTTGTGATAAGATGATAATGTTAAAGGTCATAGCATTTAAATTGATTAGATCATATTTGTAATGTCTGTTTTGTTACACCTTATATGTATGTTTTGTAGAAAACACCAAATAAACTTATAAGTATAACCTCTGACCATGCAGGAGAATGTCATATTGCTTCGTCACATGTAACGATTAAAGACCGCTCATAGCAGGGTTCCAACCAAGGGAAGTCTGATTTAAAAAAAAATTTCTTAATAACTCATTTGTACTTTACTTGTAAATTAATACATCATTTGAAACTTTCATACAGGGATTCCAAGTATTGGTTGAAAGAGAATGGCTACACTTTGGCCACAAGTTTGCTGATCGCTGTGGTAACGGTCTTCACTGTGAGGACCCTAATGAGAGATGTCCAGTGTTCTTACAATGGCTGGAATGTGTCTATCAACTTCTTGTGCAATTTCCTTGCCAGTTTGAGTTCACTGAAGCATTTCTAGTGAGTACTTTTTACTTACTTTTTAGCTCACCTGTCACAAAGTGACAGGGTGAGCTTTTGTGATCGCTTTTCGTCCGGCGTCCGTCCGTAGCCTGTCCGTCGTCCGTAAACTTTTACTTTAAATGACATCTCCTCATAAACCACTAAGCCAATTTCATCCAAACTTCACAGGAATGTTCCTTTGGTGGTCACCTTTGAAAATTGTTCAAAGAATTTAATTTCATGCAGAACTCTGGTTGCCATGGCAACCAAAAGAAAAAACTTTAAATATCTTTTTCTAAAAAAACCCAAGAGCTAGAGCTTAGATATTTGGTATGAAACATCTTCTAGTGAGTGTCTACCAAGTTTGTTCAAATAAAAGCTCTGGGGTCAAAATTGGCCCCGCCCCAGGGGGTCATTGATTTTCCCTATATGCATATAGTAAAAACTTTAAAAATCTTCTTTTAAAGAACCCAAAGAGCTAGAGCTAAGATATTAAGCACGAAGCATCTTCTAGTGAGTGTCTACCAAGTTTGTTCAAATAAAAGCCCTGGGGTCAAAATTGGCCCCGCCCCAGGGGGTCATTGATTTTCCCTATATGCATATAGTAAAAACTTTAAAAATCTTCTTTTAAAGAACCCAAAGAGCTAGAGCTAAGATATTTAGCATGAAACATCTTCTAATGGGTGTCTACCAAGTTTGTTCAAATAAAAGCCCTGGGGTCAAAATTGACCCCGCCCCGGGGGACATTGATTTTCCTTATATGTGTATAGCAAAAACTTAAAAATCTTCTTTGAAAAAACCTGAATAGCTAGAGTTTAGATATTAAGCATGAAACATTTTCTAGTAAGTGTCTACAAAGATTAAATAAATAATTAAATAAAAGCCCTTGGGTCAAAACTGCCCCTGCCCCAGGTGTGTCATTGTTTTTAACTATATGTGTAAAGAAAAAACTTGACCAGCTAGACCTTAGATGTTTAGCATGAAACATCTTCTAATGGGTGTCTACCAAGTTTGTTCAAATAAAAGCCCTGGGGTTTAAACTGGCCCCGCTCCAGGGGCCTATATACAGGTGAGCGACTTCAGGGCCATCATGGCCCTCTTGTTATTGCTCTGACAATGGATTATATTACACAATAGTTAGACTTACTCCAGAATTAAGAATATTTGGGGTTTTCCCAGCTAATCTGGGGGTACAGGCAAAGTTTTATAGTTACAACTTCAAAATTAACAGGTTGACTAATCTATTGCAACCGATAGTGCACAGTGAAGCTATAATGGTAAAAGTTTGTTTGTACCAGGGGATTAGCATGGAAAAACCCACATTTGCGGAGTTCCAGATAACATCTTAATATCAGACAGATCAGGTTTAATCTTGTTTAATCTGGTTTAAATTTTGCAGTCACATCAGTTGCTATATTGGAGTACACAATGAGATACTTTACAATTTATCTCAAATTCTTCATTTTATAAGCCAGAGTCTTCGTTATTTGACACAATATACCTCTGCATGACAGCTTTTTAATTCTTGTCTGGAAATTTAAACCATGCACCAAAATAACCCTGACTTATAAATATATATTTTCAAGATTCAGGAAATGTAAGCATTAATGTTTGTACTTTGGAGAGAGATAAGGGAGGACGATTATTATTGTGTTACAAACAAATCTTTGACATTAAATGCTTAATAAGTACTTATATTAAGTTAGATTAATACATATATGCTAAACAGTGGATAGGTTGAAGTAAACATTTCAAGTATTTTAGTACTTTATATAAATTCTGTTACTGTTATAAGATACATACTTTCCATTTGAAAAACTTGACAGTATTTATTCACATAGATAATGGTTTAAAAAAAACTAACCTGGAGAAAAAGGTTATAAAAAAAAACTAACCTCGTGATTTTTATTATTTTTTTTTTTTTGTTTTCCAGGTGAAATTGGTGCAACATACCTATTCCTGTTTATTTGGAACATTCCTATGTAACACAGTCCAGGATCGTATAGAATTAAAACTAGACCAGTCTACTGCCTCAGTCTGGAACCTACTCAGTGATAAAAACTTCCATAATCAACTGTATGCTCCATCTCCAGAACATGAGGTGAGTTTGACCACAAATTACCTATTTTTGTGCCCTCAATATTTGGGGGGGGGGGGGGGGGGGTGCATTTAGATTTACGAGGATTGTTCAAAAAGTAATAGGACTAAGCGTCATGCACCTTTATATTTAATTCAATTAATAATATTTTATATGTACAACGATCAAAAAATGTTTTCTTCAATTTAAGCATAAAATTATTGAATTATTGTGCTTAACGCGTGTTCCCTGTGTTATTGAATAACCATGGTAACACGCACCCGGCGCAGCACATAAGAAGTTAATGAAGCTTAGTTGAACTTTTATTTTATTCATTATTTATTTTCTTTTTTCCCCCAATTTATTCCACCAACACAATTAATTATATTTAAGTGACATTATGTCCAAATTTGACGACATTCAGACATGAAATGGCTAAATCATCAAGTTTTGAACAGCAGTGGTCATAACGTTAAATGTAGAAATTTGACATACATTAAAAAACTGAAAATGTGTGCGATCGTTAAACTTTGCCAACAAATTAACGATACTCCTTCAGATACATATGAAAACATAAAATAAACAATAGTACAATTAATCGGCTATCAGGATACTCGTTCTCAGCTTGCGCAAGCAATTCAAAAACTGCACATACGAGATCACAAACTGGAAAGGATGACAATGATAGCGGGAAATTGACAGGACGTTAGTGACGTCAAATGAAAAAACGCTACAAAATGATCGACGGTAAACAGTCCACGAAAAAGTAAACATCCCGGCATGTTTGATTTCTGCACTGGGTCTATTGATTCAGTTCTGCCCAAACGATTTGTTATAAACAAAATTCTATTCTATTTAATAGATATATGTGTTATCAATACATTAATGTAATAATGATTAACGGTAATAATTAATATTTTTCCCCGATTTTCTTTTAAAAATGATACGCTGCTCTTAGTAGGAAAATATACTTTTCAGTTGATAATATACAAATATGGACTTTTTAGCTGTTGAATATGATGTGATATGTACTGAAAAAATTAATATTGACCGAGGCGATAGCCGCGGTCAATATTAATTTTTTAGTACATATCACATCATATTCAACAGCTAAAAAGTACATATCTGTTTTATTATATAATTTATAAATAGCTTTTATATGGCTTATCACATCTGCCATTGAAAAAACGGTAACTAAAATAAACTAATTTGACTCTTATGTACACCCCACTCAACGTTTTTTTTCCAGAATAATAACAACAAACTTGGCGTGACGTCACGTCAAAGTCTCAACGCGTCTTCTAGGGATTTCCAGAAAATCTATTTTTAGAAGAAAAACTCTGAATATACTCTGAAAATCTATTTTTAGGAAAAAAAACAGTGAATATACTCTGATATTGACCTGTTATTTTTTACAAAAAGTTGCTTGTTAGCCAATCAGGGAAAGGCATTTCAAAGCTATTTATAGATTATATAATAACTATTTTTATTTTTACTTACATAATCATATTGTTTTAAGAACGTATGATGATATGTGTAAAATAATTGTATTAATTGCTTTTTCATTAACATCATAAGTTCATGCCTGTTTAATATGTATTGATTACTATAAGATACAAGAATACGCGAAAAAGCGGAGAGTGGCCGGCTATTGGGCTTTTTTTTTTCGAAGAGTGGAACGAGAATGTGGTCATTTTCTTTCTCGCTTCATCTCCACACATGAGGTCTGGTCAAAGTTACATGATTTAGATACCTAGAACACTAGGGAGAATTCTTTCAGAAGGGATGACGCTTGATAAATTTTTTTTTTATTTGACGACGTCATAAACGTCATTTATTGTGTTGTTAGCGTGCGCTGGATCGCGAACCCCTTGTCATTTGAAATTTTCACAGACTCGTTATTTTTAAACATATTTTATTGATTTCTTCACTGTATAAAGAGGATATGTTCCGATATTATTATTTTGTAATATTAAGCACGTAAATTAAAAAATGTGAACAGTAGAACTGCAGTCCTATTACTTTTTGAACAACCCTCGTACCCTTGTATGTCCGTCTGTTCTCATGTTGTGTTACACGTAGCTCAAGAAGTATTTGAGTATTTGACCTATAGTCATGAAACTTTACAGGATTGTTAGTCATCATGTGTAGTTGTGCACCTGGGTATTTGCGTGTTGATTTATTCAGTATTTGTAGAGTTATTGCCTCTTTCTTAGTAAAAGAATGAATAAATTTGCTTTTAAGTATATGATGAAAATATTTGAAAGTATTTACTTTAAAGTTAGTTGTGCTACCTTGCAATCAAGAAAACTGTTTATTTTAGGTAGACATTTCATATAACTTATTATATATACATGTATATATTTATTTGTTGCCAGGTTCTGTTTCCTGCTACACATGTTCAGAGTTTGAGGCTGTGGACTTCAGTTTATTTGTCCAACAACTCGTCATTTGCCAGTCCCGAAGAAACAACCAATCAGAATGGTCCTGTAGGGGATGGTACAGAAACGACGGGCTTACAGAAAACACGCTCTTGCGAAAACTTGCTTTTGAATAGCGACCTTACTTCTAGTCTAAGTCGGAGAAAAAGTGATCCGAACATTGCAATGGAACATTGTGAACAACAGACTCAGAAACTGTTGAAAGATGCAATGTCCGGGGATACAAGCTGTTCTAGTGAATCAGTTAAAAGTTCAGAGAATGATCGGTCCTTAAGTGAAAACGGTGATATCACAATGAAAAATTTAGATAGTCCAGTAGGAAATGGTGAAATTTCAATAGTTGAAAATGGATTTCATGATGAAGGTGTTGATAGTAAAGAACATGACAAGGTGGTAAATGGTGATAGTTTGGAAAATGGTGATAATGTGGAAAATGGTGATAATAAGGAAGATAGTGGTGAAGGGGTTGAAGCTAAAAATGGAAAGAGTGAAACTGAAAAATTGGAAGATACTTCTGAAGATGTTACTGCAAATGGTGTGGTTACCAATGGTAATGCTGAAAACCATCATGAAAATGGAATAAATGGTGTTGAAAATGAGTTGCTTTCTGATAATGAAAGTAAGGAAATTAAAGAAATCAGTACTGTGACAGACAATGATAAAGATGACTTGAAAAATGGCAATGGCATTCATGAAATGAATGGTCATACAGAAAATCCATGTGATAGAAATTATAGTCCTGATAGTTCAACTGAGGAAAGTAGTGAAAATTCTATTGAGACGATATCAGAAAGTGAAGATATTTCAGATAATCTAGGAAATGGTGCAAATAATGCCGTAACTAACGGACATTCCGTACATGAAGACGACAATTGTAAAAATGCCAAATTTATAAATGCATTAAATAGGAATAATAAGACTCTATAAATAGTATTTAAATTTTTGCTACGAAAATTAAAAACAAAGGAAATTCCCTAAGTGAAAAAGTAAAGGGTCCCCTTTCCTGGAAAGTTTCCCAACCCGGACACAGTAACAGAGGAATTAAAAGAATTTTGGGGATGTAATTTACACGCTAGTTGCCTCTCCCAAATTTACAAAAAAGGAAAGTTTTTTAAAGTAGCTCGTTTTCAAATCTTTTTTTGATAAAATTTAATAAAGAACAATAGAAAACACTGCAGTATTTTGCCTAGTTTCCCAAATGGGTCTAACGGTTTTCACGGGGTTTTGAAAAAGGTTTTTTTTGCTCCCAATAAAAGGCGTCCCCTTTTCCAACTAGTCTTTAAATCTGCGATGGGGTTTTGTCAAGGGAAAAATTTTGTTCGGAATTTTCCCAAAGGAAGGTTTTAAAAGGGGTGAACGTAGATACGAGTATGACTCCGCCCCTTCACACAACCCCAATTAGTCCTCAGTCACGCAATTCAACATGTCCACCTACTCCTGGCACTGGTGATGGAAAAGTAAGAATATATTTAGTATACTGTTACAGTCCCTGTATTAATTCAAGTTCTTTTTCCTAAATTAAACATTGATTAAAGACCATTTCTAAATGACTTTCTAAAAATTTTAGCCACAGTTTAGATAAAGTTTTATTTTATATTCTTTGAGTCTCTTTAATAGGTATTTAATTATATTGGAAATGATATTTTTCTGGTCACCAGAAAGCAAAACTAATTTCCTGCCATATTTGAATGCTTAACAGAAATATACTTTTGATTTGCTTTTGGTATGGTGTCTATTTTAATTGAGTAGCTAATTTTGACCACAGTTATTCGTTGGCTCAATAAATCATTTTATGTCCCACATTATAATTGTTAATGTTATTTTGATATATTTGATACAGTATTTGTTTTTCTGTTTGATAAAGAGAAAAAAACAAGAGAACTTTTTGTGAAGTTTTTTTTAAACTTTACATTTAACAATAATATATATTTATTTTTCAGTCCTTAGAGTCTGCAGTACCTAGACATGGTTTAAGTCGTCATCTAGATATTGACGGCCTTACAAAATTTAATGACCCGGTGCAAAGGGAAGTGAGCAATATGAAAGTAAAATACGAACAAGAAGATCGCCAGACTGGAAAATTTTTCATTTTTGGTCCCCACCTTTGGGGAAAACCCCCCGGGCTACCTTTCCCCAAAGGGAAAATTTCCCCCAAAAAACCCCCTTTCAAAGGGGGAAATTGGGGGTTTTCCCCAAACCCAAAAAATTTTAAAAACGGAAATGTTTAAAATATAAAAAGAGGATATTTTTTAAAACTTTTTTTTTATAAATTTCATGAAATTTTTTTTAAAAAACCCGGGGGGTATGAAAAAAAAAATATTTTTTTAAAGAGTGGCGGGGAAAAAACCCCCCGGGGTGGAAAAAAATGGTTTTAATTTTTCCAAAAAACCACAAAAATGAAAAAAAAATCCAAGTAAATTTTTAGAAAAAATTTACCCTTTTTTTTAAATTTTAAAACAAATTTTTCCCCCTTTTTTTTTACATTAAAATTTGAAAGACTTTCCCTTAAAAATTTTGTGTACAGGCAGAATTTAAAAGAAAGTAGTCCGGCAAGACACCAGTGAAAATACGGAAAATATGTTTCACTGCAGTGAAAAAATAAATTTTTACAGTGAAAAATACGGAAAATGAAAATACACATTTTATTTCATCAATATTTTCTCAATATTTCATTTGTAAGTATATAATAAACAAATGTATTCAGTGTACAATTTTAAGTAAGAAATAAAACAATAAATAACTACTAAATAAGAATAGGTTGTCATTAAATGATCCTTTCTGCTATCATAAATTTAACCAATATTTATGTTGTTTAAGAAATACATATGCCACATTTACATCAAACAGCAATTTTAAAAATTTTTTTAAAACCTTTTTTTAGATTTTAAAAATTTTGAAAAAGAATCTAGCAAAAAAATTAAAAGAAAATTTAAACCCCTTTCCTTTTTTTTTTTGGCCCCGTTTTTTTGGGGTTGTTTAAAAAAATTCCCAAGTTTTTTTGATTTAAAATTCCCTCTTTTTTTAGTTTAAATTTTGGGGGGGTTTTTTTTAATGTTAAAAAAGTAAAAATTTAAAGGGGTTTTAAAGCTCCCGTTTTTAAATTTAAAAAAAAAAAATTATAAACTTTTTAAAAAAATTAATTAAAACCCGGGAAACACCTGGAAAAATGTTTTTTCTTTAATCAAAAACAAAAGCACAAAAAGTAAAAGCTTTTCCTCCCGAAAAGCCCAAACTGGGGGGCCAAATGGTTAAACCCAGAAAAAAAATTTTTTCACGGGGCCCGGGGGAACCCGAATTTCCCCTGGGCCCCCCACAAAAGGGGGCTGGGGGTGTGAAAAAATTGGGGGGGTTCTCCATGCTGGGGAAAAAAAGGAAAGCATTCCAAAATGCGGTAAAAAAAGTTTTTTTTGTACCTTTAGGAGAAGGTTTAAAGGGTTTTTTTTAAGGGAACAGGGAAAATTGGGTTTAAATTTTAACTCCCAAAGGGGCCCCTTTTTTAGTGGGAAAATCAAACACTTTTTTTGACTTTTTAAAAATTCCCTTTTTTCCCCCAATCCCTTTTTTTATTTCAAACCCCCTTAAAACGTGCTTTAAATTTGTTAAAAATTTTTAAAAATTTAATTTGGGCCCCGGGTTTTTATTCTTTTTACCTGTTCCCGGTTTTTTAAAATTTTTAAAAAGATTTAAAACAAAAATCCCCAAAATTTTGATTAAAGGTTTGAGAAATAGAAAACATAAAAAAAAATGTTTTTTAAAATTTGGGAAAATTGAAAATTTTTTAAAATAGGGTCAAATTTGAAAATTTAAAATCTGGGTTTATAAAAATGCAAAAATTGGGGCCCCAAAAATTTTTTTAAAAAGGTTTTCCCTGGATGTGGGTGTTTTTTTTCAAAATACCCAAAAAAATTTTAAGGGTTTTTTTTGGAAAAATTTTTTTTTTTTTTTTGAGGAGAAAGGGCCTTTGAAAAACAAAAAAAAGTTTAAAAACGTGCTTTTTTCCCCCAAAAAGTGTTGTTTTAAATCCCCCTTTTTTTATTTCCCCCCTAAAATTAAATGCAGGGTTGGGGGCGGTCCCAACCCCCTTTAAAAAAATTAAAAATTTTTAAAAAAAGGGGAAAAAAAGATTTTAATTCAAAACTTTTAAAAATAGTTAAAACGATAAAAATTTTTTTTTTTTCTTTACAAAAATTGGAAATTTTAAAAAAATTTTAAAAAGTTTAAAATTTCCAAAAAAATTGGTTTAAAAATTTTTCCTTTTCCAACAAAAATTTCTTTTTAAAAGGAAAAGATTCCCCGGGTTTTCCCCCATTTAAAAATGATCAAACAAATGGAGAGTTTTGGGCAAAGGGGTTTGGGGGGTTTTTTTACCAAAATTTTCCCCAAAGCCCCTTTTTTACCAAAATTCCCCCTTTAAAAGAAATGGACAACCCGGAAAAAGGGGAACTTAGGGCCCCCCTTGGGGTTTTCCCCTTTGGGGGGCATCCCCAAATTAAAAAATATTAAAAAACCTTACCACGTTTTTGGTTTTTTTTAAAAAGGATAAAGGCATAAAAACCCCTTTTACCATTTTCCCCGTTTTTCAAAATCTTAAAAAAAGAAAATGGGTATGGAAAAAAAATAGAATTAAAATTTACCCCCCGGATCGCATCCCAAAATTTGGCCCCCTATACAATTTCCCAAATTTTTGGTTTTTTTTTTTTAAAAAGAAAAAACAGCTTTTTTTTTTTGGGGGCTTGGGAAAAATTTTTTTTTTTTTTAAAAATTGGGTACCCAAAATTTGAATTTAAAAAAAATAAAAAACCAAAATTTTTTTAGGGGCGGTTTAAAAGAAAAAGGGGGTTTTTCCATAAACAAAAAAAATGGGGGAGAAAAGGAAAATTGGGTTTTTTTTTAAATTTAATTTTGGGGTCCCCCCTTTTTTTTTTTGGGAAATTTTGGAAAAAACCCTTTTTCTTTTTTTAGAGGAGGCCCAAATTTTTAAAGTTGGTTTTTTTTTTCTTCATCATGCAGGGGAAATTGGGGGTGGTATTTGGGGGAAAAAAATTGCTAATTTTTTAGAACCAAAAATTTTTTTCTTAGTTTTTTAATTGTTTTTTTTAAAATTTTAAACCCTTTTATATTTAAAAAAATGGGGGAAATCCTTTTTTTTTGGAAAAAATTCCCGGGTGTTAAAAAAAAAAAAGGGAAAAGATATATATGTTTTTATTTACTTTAAAAACTAAAAGGAAAAATTTTATACAAAATATTAAAAAAACCCAAATGCTTTTTTTTAAAAATTTTGGCCCCAAGGGATTTTTAAAATTTAAGAATTTTTTTAAACCAAAAAATTTTTTGAAAAAGTTTAAAAATTTTTTTTTTTGAAAAATAAAATCAAAAAACATTTAAAAGGACCAAAACCCCAGTTTAAAAATTCCAAAAAAATTTTTAAATCTGGGAATTAAACAAATAAAAATTTTTTAAAACCCCATGGGAAATTAAAAGCATGAAATTAAAACATTGGAAACCAAAATTTTCAAATTGGGACTCAAAAAAAAAGAAAAAATTTGGTTTCCCTGGTTTGGGCCCTAATAAATTGAAAAATGTTATTTTTACATTTAAGGGAAAAAAATTTTTTGCTTTTGTGAAAAGGTTTTGGGCCCCCCCCATAGAATTTTTTTAATGTTTGTTTTTTTTTAGATAAAAGGGGCCCCTGGGTTTTTTCCCCTCCTTTTTTTTAAAAATCTTTTTATCTGGGAAAAACTTTGGGGGGTATAATCCATTACTAATAGATCAGAAACAGAAAATTTTTTTTTTTTTTCATACAAAATTTTCCCCCAAACCCCCCCTTAAAAAGTTTGCCCCTTTTTTAGAAATTTTCCCCCCGTTCATCAAATTGTTTTGTAAACTGGGATTGCTAAAATAAAAAACAACAAATTTAATTTAAATTT